GAGCGATGCCACCCAGCTCCTCTGATATACTTCACGTCCGCGTCCGTATCTGTCTCAAGGCAATCTTCAAATTGTCTTGTCGATGTGAGAGTTGACGGGATGATCGGATGGCCAGAGTGTGCAAAGCCAAAGACGAGAACATGATCGCCGTCAACATGCCTCGAAGCAGCATGACAGCCCTGCTTTGTCATTTTGGCCAAATCCACAAATCTGGAAATCATCACACCCCCTTGCGGCATTCTGCGCAACAGTCGACGTGCGGCTTTTCGTCCCTGTCATATGTGCAGCAGCGGCGCAGGAGAAACCCACATCAGCCCAGGGATTCTTGACGAATTGTCTTCAGCAGCGGCAACAGCATGCATCGGAAGATTGGAGGCCACTCAAACTCAATTTGTATCCATGGCCACACCGGGCAAAGCCTTGGAGGGGGTAACGCGAAGCTGCAAGAATGCTGCCCTTTTCTCTCCTCTCCTCTCTCTCACGGCCGTCCACAACGGGAGACTGGGGCGAGACTTTTGTTCTCCGGGGTCAGTCTCTCGGCTGAGACACGCCAACACCCAAGATAGGCATGCGAGAGAGACATTGCACGCCACGCGCAGCCACGTTCCTGGCTCTAAGTTCCCGTGCCTGGCACTCAAAATTGTTTCCGAGGTGACGAACAAGCGCCCACCTGAATGCTTAAAGCCCATTAACAAAAAGTATGTTGGACGATCTCCCATCCACAAATTCACAAGTCCACTGCAACTGCACGACAACACGTCGAAGCATCGCTACCACCCTTTCCCACAAGGCCCGCGGGATGAACAGGTTGGGTCTTCGCCTTTCTGAGACATATGCGCCGTGTGCCCTGACCTCCTCCGTTTCCTTGCAGACCAGACCACCACTCGGCCTCACGCATGCAGGCTGTGCGGCGGAAACTGAATTACCTGCATCAGCTACACCTGGGTACTCTTTCCTTTTCGTCGCAGCTCTCTTAAGACGGCTACAAAGCCCTTAACACGCCCTCCCCCCTCGTCCCTTACTTCTTAGCGTCCCCGTTCAAAGTCCGGGGCAACAAGACGAGCTGCCATCTCAAAGCAGATCTTGGCGATCGTCGTCGCCTTTGCCCTGTGCAGCCATTCGCCAGCACAGCACACCCACGACCGCCAGCCGTGGGTCCCTCCCGCGCGGCGCCCCTTCTTCAATCTCTTACATTTATCCAGCGGATGGCCCAGCTCCTGGCTCCCGCGCACAAACCCTCGTTCCTTGCTTCCTGGCACTCAGGCTACCAGGTCTGATCTGGGAACCTGCCATTTTCTTTGCTTTTGTCAGCCCATCGTCAGCGAACAGTGTTTAACGACGACGATGACGATGGCGCCAGTGACTCCTCCGAACCCGCTGCCGCCGGACGAGAATGTGAACCCGACTCTGTTAGCGATATCCGGCGTGCTCATCTTCTTCGTCATCTTCACAACGACTCTGCGGCTCTACGTGCGCTTTTCGCTACGGCACCTAGGATGGGACGACTACTTGATGGCAATCACCGCCAGTCTCGGCATCGTCAGATACGGCGTTCAGTGTGCGCAAGGCGCGACCGGAAATGGGAGGCATAGGTGGTACATTTCGTCGGAGGAGTACGTCAACAACAACATGCTGGGATGGTTCGGGCAGATTCTCCTCTTCGCCAGCGTCTGTCTGCTCAAGTGCTCGATTATGCTGCTGTTGCTGCGCATCAAGGATTCCAGCCGGATGAAGTACTTCCTCTGGACGGTTATGGGGGGACTGGTGATCACCAACTTCGGCGTCATCATTATCCTTCTGGCAGAGTGTGATCCCGTGGAGGCGTACTGGACCGGAGTGGGGAAGTGCTGGGATGCGAAGATCCGGATTTACGCCATCTACTTGACGATTTGTGAGCTCACCTACCTCAAGGCTTTGCTCGGACTTTGGCTAACGTTGAATAGCTTATTCTGTTTTGACCGACTTGCTTTGCTCATTCCTGCCTCTGGCGGTCGTCTGGCAAGTCCGAATTCCCTTGACAACGAAGATTTCCGTTGGTGGACTGATGAGTCTTGGACTGATGTAAGAATCTCGTCACATACAGCGATTTGACTGACGCTAACTCCTCGACAGTGCGACCGGCTTTGGAATCGCGAGAGCTGCTTCGCTTGGTCTCGTCACCAACGATCTCAGTTGTATGTATTGTATCTTCCCTCTTCAAGCACTTCAAAACTGACTTCGAAAATCAGACGTCTATGCTGTAACAGCAATTTGGTCCAATCTCGAACTTTACCTCGGCATCATTGCCGGAAACCTCGCACTGTCGCGTTCAATCTTCTTCTATTTCTTCGGCGAGAAGCAGCCGCAATCGCACCCTTCAGGGTACGCCAGCAACTCATACGCAAACTCCCAAACTAGGTCCGCGTATCTCAACAGCAGGTTACGCGGCGACAACGCCGGCCCTGGTGGAACCGACACATACATCCGCTCCGAACGACGACCATCTGTGAAAAGCGACCACAGCGAAATACCATTAGAACCCGGCATCCAAAAGAGGACAGAGTTCTGGGTTTCTGAAGAAGACGTTGAGAGCGAAGCATCTACAGCAAGGGCAGGAAAGCAGTCACCATTATGAGACGGAGCCGGTTGAGATTCTCAAGTACACGCAGCTCACAAGGAGCTTACGCATGCTACGGTGTTGGGGGAAGTACTATGAAAAAGCGCACGTCATCAGATACCCGGCAGAGGAGGCCACAGTACCGTCACGACCTGCCCTGGAATTGAGCTGTTATGCGTTTGAATGTTGCTTTAGTTTCTATGAAAAGATAATGATAATGAGGTCAGGTTATCTCGCAACTGCGCCAATGTCCGCTCGTCGCGTGAATGCCAGGGAAGACGCTCCCTCCAACGATCTGATGTCCTGATATGGAATGTCGGGCATTGGATGGAGTCGTCAGAACCAAAGATGTCTGCTCTGTCAAAGCGCTCGCCATTACCCACTTTCTGCCAACGCAAGCCTCTTTTTACGCAATTTGAAGGCTGAGAAAATCCGAGCAATCCTGGCCTGACCGTTGCACCCGCCAGCGTCAGATGGGGCCGAAGTGGGTTGACAATTCTCATTCCCTGCGGGTAAGAATTGTCTGAGCGCGTGGAGTTCGAGACTCGACTGACAGTCGGAGATAACACCCGATTGATGACACTGACTGCCCAGGCAGAGGCGCAAGCTGCGAGCCCCGGTCGTTCTTCAACGGCGGGATTCTCACGCCGGCCGCTCTCCGTTCATTAGCGAGCTTGGCCCCCCTAAGACGAAGGCGCAACAGGCACCTCGTTTTTTTCTCCCCGGAGTTTGAGGGGAACCAACAGGTTTCGGGAGCTGCAACTTTCAGAGTCGGTTTTTCTGCCCCTTGTTCATAACGGTGGGTGGAAAAGGGTCAATCCCCGTGTCTTCCGGCGCCAAGCAGGGATCTTTCAGCAGGGCTGCAAGGCACCGGGATTTACCGTAAGCACGGCCGTCGCGGACGGGCAGCAAGAAACCGGTGGGCTTCGCGGAGCGCGATAGCCGTATGGCTGGCCAGCGTCGCATCGTCGAATAGCCGTGGGGTGGGAAGGCGAGAGGAGGAGACGGGCAAAGTGAAGGTTCATCTGAGCGAGCCTACGCGGTGGTTAGCCTACAGGTCTGTCCGTACAGTCGGCATCATCAAATGCTCTCGTCATAGCTTAATAATGTAACACCTTCATCTCATGTCTTCCAGCTTACGTTGGGGTGGTGGCACTGATGCGGCCTTGGGCGTGAAGCCAAAGGCTAAGTGAAGTGCTCCTGCAACCTTAAACGCGCATCTGGGGCGGCAAGTCTGTTTTGAAAAGCCGGCGACGTGCGTGACCTTGCAGCTGCTTGTAAGCTATGACAAGCCGTTAGAGACGTTGACTTAGCACTTATCAAGACAAAGCAATCAGCGAGGCCAGCCTTCGGTTATCGCCGACTGAGCCATTGTTGGCTGCTGGTGATTTCACAAACCACGACGTGTTTCGATGCGATGCGGAATTATAAACAAAAGAAGGTTAATCGTGTAGCGCAAGCACCACCTATTGACCCCGTCAGAGCTCCCGGGAGCGATACCGAGGCAGCCCGCGAGCCGTTTCGCAGCCTATGTCAACGTCCGAACGAACTACTAGAGAAAACCCAAATAACGCTCATTAGATTACACCGGGATGGGATGTCTTGTCCTTTGGTGGCCGCAGTGACAAGGCCAGTTTCAAGCCCACTGTCGCGTCTCTCGAAACAAACATGCTCTTGGCCGGGTATCGAATAGTGCAGTTCTTTTCCCGATATTGACGATCTTACACATAAGGTTCCTTGAGAGTGGGTAAGATAGGCGCAGGTTACGCCACAGCAAATTTGAACGCAGTGGAAACACAGCTGCATGCACATGTACAATTATTCTCTCACTAAGGACCGTTGTATTGTTTGTCTTCATAGCCAAAGCAGTGGACTGATTGTCAATCACAGTGTGTTCAAAAAGAATACCTAGGCGGGACAGCCTAAAGCCGATAACGCAAAAGCAAAAGACTGCGCCGAGGGGGAATCGAACCCCCGGCTCCCCGACGCTGCTTGATGGCAACGGAGAATTTTACCACTAAACCATCGGCGCAAGTGGACGGAACTGAGTAACCCCGAATTCCGATGCTGGATCGGGCCTCGGGGCAAACTATGATCCCCAACTTCAATCAGTTACGCCGGCTCTTGTCTCATGCTCCATAACGGCGCGATCGTGTAACGACCACACAGGTCGAATAGAACACAATACTCATTTTTGCATTCGAGCCGAAAACTGCACTGTCGATTCATCTTTATTATCAACTCATCCTAATCCTAATAGAAGGTTCCGCTTTGTCGTCGATTCTTTCTCGCCGTTTTCTATTTAATGATCAATAATTATCAAATTACATTTCATAAATAAAACTCCTGATATCCGCCGTTATGTGCTTGCTCCCATTCCTTTAATTCTAATAGTACGTTCTGTTTAAGTCGATATTTTATTTTTCAATTGTCCAACAGCCAGCTGTCCCAGTTGATCGAAGCTCTGGGCACTCGTCAGCTGAAGCACACTCACATCAACTCCCATTGTATGCTTCCACCAGTTGCGGATCTCAATCGTCATGAGCGAGTCGACACCAAGCGCCGACGGTGACAGGCTTGTATCTACTCCCCCTTCGTCAATCTCTCTCATCAAGAAACCAAAGACCCTCTGAGCAATTTCCTTTGATAAATATGCGACAGTGGCTTGAGAATCCAGCTCCTGTGGGTTGCCTTGAAGACGGACGATGTAGTCGGCTAATCCAGGTCGACCAGAATTGTTTTGCGATGAGGCGGCGTCTTCTGAGTTATTCAGATAGTGAACCATGCGCGGGTCTTGCTTCCACACGACGCGGTTGCTTGGATCATCGATGGGGATAGTGCAGTCGAGGCCGACAACAAGTTGGCTATCCAAACGGCTGTTGTCTTCGTTGCCAGTGTCTCGCGATGTGACGATCGCAAGCTGCAAGCCCTTCAGCATCTCCGACTCGGAAACCAACTTTGCACCGGCCTTTCGCATGGCATCCTCGACATCCTGAGTTCGGCTAACATAGCCAACGTCTTCCACGCCACCGAGGTCAACAACTGAGCACGGCATTCCGTGACCGCGACGATACTGTGCGAAACTGTCTAGGAAGGTGTTGGCTGCGGCATAATTTGCTTGGCCCGGGTACCCATGGACACCAGACATGCTGCCGAATAACACAAAGAAGTCTATGTCATCCGGGAGAACGCGGTGCAGATTCCACGTTCCGCGAATCTTGGGGTTCGTTGCTGTCTGCCATTGAGACAGGCTAAGCGTTGACAGGGACCCGTCTGCAAGGACCATTGCAAGATTGATGACGCCGGCGATGCGCTTCGATGAAGACACCCTCGAAACGATGGCTTCGACAGCTGATTCGTCGGTGATGTCGCATGCAATGGCAGTTGTTCTGCAGCCCATTCCCTCCAGCTCGGCCATGGGGAATTGGTCTTCAGCGCCAGCACCGGCTGACCTGGAAATGAAAACCAAGTCTCGTGCGCCGTGAGAGACCATCCATCGTGCAATTGAGCCACCAAGACCTCCCATGCCACCTACTAGCATGTAGGTAGCGTCATTCTTGAATGCTGGACTTGGCGTTGGGCGGGCCACCTTTAAAGCATCTTGCGTTTCATCGCTGAGATCGATGACGACCTTGCCAATGTGGGTGCCCTTGTAGAGGTAGCGGAAGGCATCTTGGACATCTCCACAACAGAAGATGCGTGACGGAGTTACCGGCGAGATCAGTCTCTTCTCATAAAGCGCAACTGCCTGCTCCAACAGACGACCCACGATGCTCGGATCCTGAGCAGCAAGGTTCGCCATCTCAACGCCCACAAATGACCGATTCTCGTCAAAAGCCGCCATAGAAAGTCGACCACCAGCGAGGGTGTCGCGTTTGCCGAGCTCGACGAACGTTCCGTGGGGAGCTACGCATTCCCACGAGGCATGAAGCAGCTCGCCCGAGAGAGAGTTGAGCACGACGTCTACGCCACGGCCACCAGTTGCTGCCTTGACACCCTCAACGAAACTCGTGTCCCGCGAGCAGAAGATGCTTTCTCTCGGGACGCCCCACTCGCTAGACACGAAGTCGGCTTTCTCATCGCTGCCGACCGTCGCATAGACCTTGGCCCCGATCCATCTGGCAATCTGCATGGCAGCAATACCAACGCCGCCGGCAGCACTGTGAATCAACACGCTCTGCCCAGCTCGAAGTCCGGCCTTTTCAACCAGAGCTCGTAACACCGTGATGAAATTGCATGGCATACCAGCGGCATCTGCGAAGCTTAGAGAATCGGGGATGCGAGCGCATAGCTGAGCTGGAGCTTGTACGTCGGTCGAGAAGCAAGCGGCTTGCGGGGCGAAGACCATGACGCGATCTCCGACACGCAGGTTCGTGACTGAAGATCCCGTGGCTGTCACTGTGCCGCTGGCTTCACAGCCGAGACCTTCGGACGAAGAAGGGATGATGAGACCCATGGCCGTGACGACGTCTTTGAAGTTGAGGCCGGCTGCGTGGACCTTGATCTGTACGGAGTTGGGAAGGAGCTCCTCAGGCAGTGTGCGAGATACCCAATGGAGAGTCTGAAGGGCCCCTGGTCTGCCAATTTGTAACATCTTTGTGGGAGACGGGGGCCTGGTTGCTTGAAGGGATCGGGATATTGGTGTCCATTGGCAACGTGGAATCAAGACCTTCCCTGAGGAAATTGCGAACTCCATCTCGCGGGATTGGTTTTGATCAAGGATGGCTCTGTGCAAGATCTGAGAGACCGCATGTAGGGCGCCGTCTTGCACGTTATCCAGCTCCAACGTGACGAATGTGAGGCCCATCTCGGCGCGAACTGTACGCGCTACGCCGAGTACAGGGGCATAGGTCGGATCGGTGGGTTTGAACTGGCAAGACTTGGTGATCCAGAGGAGACCAGAATTCGTTGACTCCATGGCTTTCACCAACCGCTTGAAAGCATCAAGCTTCTCCTGCGTCATGTCGTGGAAGTAGCCGTCTCCCCGGCAAAGGTCCACGGCAGACACAACGGCGCCAGCAATTTCGACATCCTTCGACATCAAGCCTGTGCAAGTGACCTTGTAGCCTTGACCTTCTAGTGTTAGACGCAGCTGAGATACCACGAGATGCGTCTCATCGTCTTCGTAGAGCAATGTGACTTGCTTTGCTTGTGGCGATGGCTGCAGGTCCTGTGGAGTGGGCTGAGCAACAATGGTGGCGTTCAACTTATCCTCCCCGACGCCATCGTAGAAGACATTTGGCGTAGAGAAGCCTGCGGCTTGCAGACGCTCTTGCCATTGTGCTGGGGAGATGTACGGTTCGTTGACGCGTTGGTCAGCCTCTCCGAGCCACCACCCCGAGAAATAGCCAAAGATGAAGTTGATCCATTTGGTTTCTGTTGAGTCTTAGTACGAAATCCCATGTAATTTGAAGAAGTGCGCTACTCACCACTGCATAGCTCGTGCATAAGCAGTCGGCCATCTGGCTTTAAGAGTGACCTGGCATGTCTCAAGGTCTGCGTCAAGTCTGGGGTGGCGTGAAGAACCTGAGGGAAATGTCAGCATGATTGATGAACTCCGTTCTTGATTGAGGACGCATGGGTTGTCTTACGTTGCTGGCGACAATCAAATCATACTGTTCGCCACCAAAACCCTGTTCGGCAGGGCAACGGCTGATATCCAAGACACGGTAGTCAACGAATCCAGACGGGACATCTTCGAATCTCTTCTGTGCTGCTGGAAAGAAACCAGCGGACACGTCTGTGAAGACGTACTTGCCGACTGCCTGTCCCTCACTGAAGCAAGATACGAGATGTCTCAAGATCCGAGCCGTCAAGCCACCTGTCCCGGCGCCAACTTCCAGAACCCTGAGATGTCTGCCGCGCTTGTGCGACAGGAGTTCTAGCAGAGGCTTATAAGAGAACAAAGTATTCATCCAGTCGTAAAGTTCGTGTAGCGCGTTGTCTTGGAGGAACACTTCAAGAGGCACCCGCTCGGAGTTGAAGAATTCTCGTGCATGGGTAAAGCAGCGCTTGATCAGGGTGGCCACTGACGAGGCGGGTGTTTGTGCAAGCTGCCTGGAGATGCTAGCTATCCGCAACAAACGGTCTTCTGAAGGCATGTGGCGTCCGATGTGCGCGTCTGAGACGTGGCGTTGCAGCCAATTGTAGTGCCTCTTGAGATGTGGCTGGCTCTCCAAGTCCAGATCCAAGCCGTTTAGATCATCCAAGGCAGCAGCACCACAAAGTAAGAAGAGATTCTCAAGCAGTCCATGGATGGACGAAAACGACTCATCGGCCTGCGAGGAGACCAAATGTCTCGGATCGACGAGGTCGAGGTCTGGCTTCCACAGGAATTGGGCTACCCTGGAGTCGACTGACTTGTCGTCGGAGGTCTCAAGGTCCACCGGAGAGAAACGCAGATCTTTCATGAAGATGACCGGGGGTTCGTTGGCCTTTCCAGAAAGATACCCAAAGCTGCTGCCCTCACAGGTGGCAGAACCTCCCTTCGTCGAGGTCTGCAAATGAATCAACCCGGACGATGCGGAGCCGCTGATGAAGATCTCGTCAACGTGGGTGGGTAGATACAACTTGTCCAGCAGACGTGGTTGTCCGGAGCTGTTGGCTACCACCAAAGACTGGAGGACTTGGTCTATGGCTCTGGGGTGGAGGGCGTACGTCGACTTCAACTCGTTGCATTCACGAGCGTCTGAAATTTCCACGGCGGCAGCAGGTGAACTCACGCTCGCTCTGATGTTCCGCATGCCCCTGAATAGAGGACCATAGTTATACCCCACTTTAGACATAGCTTTGTACCACCGCCGAGATTCGACAGGACGCAGGAATGATTCATCTGCAAGAGATGAAAAGTCAGGGCCTTGCGAGGCCTGTCCATCTTTCACGCGACAGGTGCAGTGCGTAGTCCATGCTCCGGACTTGTAGCTCTGAATACTGACCTCCCACCAGTCAGAGGCATCGGATTGAGTGAGACTTTCACGGCGTGTCGATGTCAGAAGCTCCAAACCCTGTCCCGTGGAGAGAACCAAAGCATTCATGACCTGTAGATTTCGAATTGTGAAATCGGTCTGACCAGATACTTGGCGGACGGCTTCTCCAACCATAGCGATATATCCGGCGGCGGGGAAAACGACATCTGAGCCTACGCAGTGGTCCTTAAGCCAAGGAACCTTCTCGAGTGATAGAACACACCACCAGCTGGGCGTCGAGCTGTTGTGATCAGGCACACGCGAGCCTAACAGCTCATGAGGGGGATGCTTAGGAAACTGCCACGCCTTGATGACTCTTGATTCTGGCCAGTACGTCTTGCTCAGGTGCCAAGGATACGGCGGAAGATCCGTCAGCGGACGGACACCGTCCAACACCGGGAACACCACTGGCACGCCGCGGCAGTGGAGCTCGCCAACTGCTGACAAGAACGAGACCATGCTGTTTGCGCCGCGCTTCTGTGCGGTGATGTATGCCGGCGTCATTGCGTTTTCCGAGTAAATTTGCTTGAGCGGACCTGCGAGCGCCGAGTGTGGGCCAACTTCAAGGTGAAGACTTGTCGAGGATGTTTGAAGAAGTCGTGTGACAGCTTGACGGAAAAGCACAGGAGACTCGAGATTGCGTTGCCAGTAATCTGGGCCAAAGTCTGATGCGCGTTCTAACCTCTGCAGCGAGACACTTGAGAAGAAGGGGATCTTGGGGGCGTTGGGGCTCAGATATGGCTTCAGAAGGGCTTGGTACTCTGCACCCACCACGCGCATGTGATCTGGAAAGAAGCGATGTTAGTGCTCTGCAGTCTTTATTTGGCAGTAACAGTCGCAGCTTACGAGAATGATAGGCCTTGTCAACCTTCAACAGTCGGACCAAAGCGTCCGGCTTCGCCTCTTTGATGGCATTGCAGACACCCTCGAGAGGCTCGACATCGCCAGAAAGAGTGATACTGGAGTTGCTGTTTTCACAGGCGATCGTAACCCCAGCAGCCAGAAAAGGCGTTACTTGGTCTCTTCCGAGACCAATGGCGGCCATGGCACCCTGTTTCTTCAACTTCTTGGCCGTGAAGCCACGGTAGTATGCAACTATGATGGCCTCTTTGAGGGTGAGCACACCAGCAGCGTACGCAGCTGCAATCTCGCCACTGGAGTGACCGACCACTGCTTTTGGTACAACGCGGTATCGGGCAAGGTGCCGTACAAGGGCAGCCTGCAGGGCTGTGCAAATTGGCTGAGCATATTCCGCTTCGCCTAGACGAGACATTGCCTCAGATCGCATCAATTCGCCTGTCAGGACTTGGTTAGTGTCCATTAGAATCTTGAAGCTGAGTTGATGACATACCTCTGATGTCCCAGCTCGGCCGGTGGTCTTTCGGAAGACTCTTCAAAGCCGCATCCATCTCACGAATATCTTGCAGGAATTCCCAACTGGTCTTCAGGAGGTGAGAGCCCATCCTTGCCCACTGGGCGCCCTGGCCAGTAAAAACAAACGCGATACCGGCATTCTGTGTGTTGGATCTGAAACTTGGTAATGACGGTTGGTTAAAGACCAAGTTCTCGCACTCATCGGTCACAACAGTAAACGTTCGGTAGCCCAAATGTGACCGGCGATGTGTCAAAGTGTGAGCAAGTCCCTCCAGACTCGACGGCTGCATTTTCAGAAATGTCTTGTAATCCTGAACCATGGCCTTTAGGGACTCCTCGTGGCCAGCAGAGAAAAGGAGCAGAGTTGCCGGTTCTCTGCGGAGAGGCGGAGATGGCGGCGGGGTATCCACGTTGCCGGGACCCCGGACGGCGGTCGGCCTTGTCACCGATGCCGCCGATTCTAGAATTATCTGAACGTTTTAGTAACCTTGCCATGCAGGAGAAAATAGGAAACGTTCGTACATGTATGTTGGTTCCTCCTATGCCAAAACTGTTCACCCCGATCCGCTCAGCGCGATCTTCGGGCCAAGGCATGGGTTCGGTCGGGACTTTCAGGCCAGCTGATGAAAACGGTACTGCGAACATGACCCATCAGAACAACTCCTGTGCATCTGAAGCTGGGGACTTACTGCTAACGCTTGGATTCTCAAATTTGATATTGGGTATAATGGTACGAGTTTCGAGTGATAAAACGGCTTTTACGATGCTGGTAATGGCTGAAGCAGCTTCTGAATGTCCCAGGTTCGGTTTCACCTGAATGGTCATTAGCACGCATGTCATCTCTCAGGGCATGCAGCACTTACGGAACCGATCAGCATGCCCTTGTCACCGAACACTGTCCCAACAGTGCATGCTTCAATGGTATCTCCAACAGCCGTCCCAGTGCCGTGACACTCAACCATGGCCGTCTGCCACATGTCACTCTCAGGAATGCCGGCGTAGTGATATGCATCGCGAATCAACTCCTGTTGAGCCTGGGCACTTGGTGTTGTCAACCCGAGAGTCTTGCCGTCTGAATTTGTCGCTGACCCGCGAATCACCGCCCGAATAGGATTCCCGTCCCTGATCGCTAAGTCGAGTCTTTTGACAAACAGGCAATTGACCGCTTCAGCGCGGACATAACCGTTGGCGCTAGAGTCGAAGGTCTTGCAGGATGCATCTGGCGATAAAACGCTCTGCTCAGCCATGAGCTTGCTGAAGCCTGGCGACAGCATGAGATTGGACCCTGCCACAACAGCTGAGTCGCATTCGCCGGCACGGATGGCTTGGCAAGCAAGATGCACAGCGAGTCCTGCCGCTGAACACGCTGTGCGAACGGTCATGCTACATTAAAATCAGTGATGGCCACCATAGTTACGGGCCGGCATGCTCACCTTGGTCCTCTCAGATCAAAGGCATGAGATATCCTGTTCGCCTGGACGAAGTCCATGTACCCCGTGAGACGATACATGCCGTCGTCCTGCGTGTCAACGGCGTGCATCTCCCGCCAGTCATCTCCAAAGCTGCCCACGTAGCAACCGATCCTCTGGCCCTGCCATTCCGTTTCTGCAGCGCTCTCCAGCGCTTCCCAGACCACCTGTAATAATAGTCGCTGTTGCGGGTCAAGCTTTGACATCTCTTTTGGGTTCATCGAGAATAATGAGGGATCGAATCGCGTGACATCGTCGTTGGAGAGCCAGTAGCCCTCCTCCGTCGGGAGTGACCCAGACTTTCCGGTTGCTGTGAAGTGGTGGTTTTCAGATGCGTACCGCGGCTGGTCTGGTTTCGAGCGCGCATCTTTGCGGGAGATGAGGAAGTTGTAGAGAGATGTCGGGGTGTTGATCCCGCCTGGAAGTCTTAGGCCTATGCCGCAGATTGCGATCGGTGTTGGTCTATTGTCGTTTGGTGCTTGCGTGTTGTCCTCTTTTGGGAGGCCATCTGATGCCATGATGGACGTGGTGGCACGGCGTATATTGACGTATCGAATCTGGACAACTCAAATTGGATCAGAATGTTTCTAGATGTTTTCCACTAACTGAGAATTCGGACTGAAATGCATGCGTTTCTGAGAATGCAGTCTCAGCGTTCAGCTGCAACGCCCATGACGCGTTGCTCACTCCAGGGTTGACGTTCAGTGACATGGGATCCCAATCTGTCTCCATAGCGGAAACCTTTGGGGGGTAAAATGAGTTCGGACCGCGCGAATTGGGGCTTCTGATAGGAGGCCATGTTCGGTCCGGCAGTCTTTATGAAGCCCCTGTCCCTGACTCGACTTCCACCTAACAGCGCTTCGACCGACGACCACAGTAACCAATCTGGGGTGCATCCAGGCACTTTGGCTCTGTTCGAGTGCTGAAAGAAGCTTGTAGCTGACACTATTCGCGATCCTTGTGGTGATTTCCCCCAACCTGATCAACAGTCGCGGGACTGATTGCTCGCACCCAACGACTGCAAACCTCGATAACTAACGGAGACAAACTGCAAAAGAAGATGGATAGATTGAAGTCGCTGTGGCCGCCCACACACGCGTACAAAGAAGTTCGCACCAGCCAATCCGATGACGATGAGCGACAGTCCGAAGGCTCGGAGGAGAATTTGCGCGAACAAATCGCAACCTTGGAAAGCAACGTCTGGTGCCTGCGCGTGAGCTTGCTAATTACAGTCGTGGCTCTTATGCTAGTAACTGTATTTGCTGTCTTTGATCGCGTTACGTCCGTCAGAGATGCCCATAAATGCGGGCACATCGGTAGCGACCACAGCGGCTTCGTCCCGCCGGGTAAGTGTGCAGAGTTGCGAAACGAGGAGGGCACCTTGTTAACAGTGCCACAGAGATCGGCGAACCAGGAAGATGGACAATTTTCGACAAGTCTTCTCCGTACTACATCGAAGAAGACACATTTTACGACCTGAATAAGACGAAAATGGTCGTCAAGAAGCTGAAGAGTTTGCATAACTGTAAGCCTTTTCGTGGTTGCTTCAGGGTTAAACGCTGCTAACAGTTCGAGCAGCTTCAAATGTGTTGGTCAACGACAATTGGGCGGATTGGCACAAGCCTGACGGCACCGTTGCAAAACTGCCGGCGTATTATTCAACGGTATCATACCGACAGACATACATCATCCGCTCTTTTCATCAAATGCACTGCCTCGTAAGTTTGCAAGATATCAGATGGCCATTTTCGACGTTTACTGACTGAATTGACAACAGATTTCCATTACCGAAGAATACGGCCACCGGGTTCACAACGTCTCGTCACAATGGGCTCCTCAACACGTCGCCCACTGCCTGAACACTATCCGCGAAGCAATCATGTGCCTTGCGGATGCGTCTCCGATGACCTATGTCAATGGTTTCGCGGTGGGCCATGTCACGGATGACCAGAAGTTTATGTGCAGAGACTGGTCTGCTTTGAGGAAGTGGGCAAACGACCCTGTTAGAGGTGTGCGGTACAAGAACCTGGCACCTGAAGGGGCGAAGCATGACAACTACACTGAGATCATTCCGTTCCCGAAGTTGTCCCCGGATGAAGAGATTGGACTGGCCTGAGAATTCCTCAAACCTTGGATAACTGAGCTTACAATTTTCCGTTGCATGTAGCGAAGCAATCGTTAGACTTATCGTAGGAAAGGTACATGGCATATTTGCGACTTCACAAAACCTTACTGAAGAAGGTCCATAGTTACTGTTAGTTGAGAGAGTTCTCATCCTACTGTGAACAACACCGCAGAGGATAGACTTTACACATTGTTCCCCCTCGAGTCTGTAGTAGCGAGATGTGCATTATTGCCATTGGATAGTAAAAGATATGGATAGTGGGCATGCATTGAAACAAACTAGAACTGGCTTTTGATGCAAAATCGTGACCTATTCAATGCACGCTCCGGTGAATGGAAGACGTTTCCGGCCAAACCGATATCAACTTCATCCAATCAAACAATCCACCTCATGAGGCTCGTTGTACACCCTCGTAATGTTCGGCAGGTCAATCTCCCAAGATTGAGGAATGCCATTGTACAAGATACAATGCTCGACGTGCTTGGGGTCTCTGCACAGCGAGTCCAACACTCTCGGCTTGAAGTGCGAAGCATACGTGATCCTGTCCCACACGTAGCTGCAGTGCATGTGGTGAACCGTCCCGTCCGTGAAAATCTCCCCATGCTCCCCCTTGGCCGCCACATCAAAGGGCACCTCGTTGATTCGCTCCCGCTCGTACCAGAAGGTCGTGTTCCGCCACTTCATGTAGCCCAAGTACCGCTCGTGCATCTCCTCGTTGAAGCATTTCGGATGCATCCACGTCGAGAGGACAAAGTCGTAGACGCAGCCTCGGGCTTTCGACTCTTTCCAATCCGGCGAGCATTTTCCGAGAGAGATGGGCTCGGGAGGCCGTGAGGGGGTCATGTCGTGGGTTGCGCGACCGAGGTAGAAGATGGCAAAGGCGGCTGGGACTAGAGCTGCTTTGCCGATAACGGACCATATGCGGCTACGGTGGGCTTTGCGCTTGGTGATCACCTCGGAGGTGTATTCGACTGAGTCTGTCTCGTCATGATAGCTGCTACGCCCTGCAGTCGTTTCTTCGCTTTCTCGCTGCTCGTTCAGGAGAGTGTGTTTCTCCATATCGAAGTCTTTAGTTGCTCTTTAGCGCCTGTGAGATCGTAAGGTAAGGCTAAAAACGCTGGAGACATTTAAACATGACAATACTCACTTCACTGAAATCTTGCGTCTAGTTCCTCTTGGTGAAAGCCTAACGCTGGGATGAGCAGGGGTTGACGATGAGTTGGGAGGGCGGTGGGTACTCTCAACTTGTGCCGGACTGAGCCAGCAACTGTGTGCAGCCAGATTAAAGTTTGAACAGCATTTCGGACCGCGGATGCCACCCTCGTCCAAGGACTCGGAGCTGTAGAAGACAGACCAATGAGGAAGCTGACAGAGATTGGACTTTGCTGTGGTCTGGGATCAGTTGCAGGAGACACCCTCGTTCAGAGTTCGCGCAACGTGCTGGCGACCAAACAGTTCCCCGCCCGAATGTCACTAACAATATTGTGAAGCCTTACCGGAGCTACCTTCGAACTCACACTTCGATCGTCATTTTGGTTCTTACTGGTGGCGTCCTTCTTCTCAGCTCTCACACTGCATTTGGATCACGAGGACAGCCACAGCACTTCAGCCGCCGCAATGCCTGCCGCCAATCCAGTCCTAATCCAAGACTTCCCGCGCTCTCGCAGCGAGCCGCCACCGATTTTCCTCATTCACGATGCGAGCGGCCTGTTGACAAGCTATTTCAAGGTCGGCACCCTGGGCCGAAAGGTCTACGGTATCTGGGATCCCAAGTTCGATGCCGATGGTATCGGTGGATGGCAAAGCGTTCGGGACATCGCTGAAGCGTATGTCCGCCTAATCAAGCGGGTAATGCTGAGAGGCGAGATCGTACTCGGTGGTATGTAGATCTCAGTAACGTGCCGAGCTTTTTTCTGACCCAAATCCTCCTCAGGCTGGTCTTTTGGAGGCGTTCTCTCCGTGCAGATCGCCCACATGTTGGCTACTTCAGGTCGCGGCCTTCGCGTATCACGAATCATCCTCATCGACTCAGTCTACCCAAGATGCCCACGACCCGAAGCACAAAAAGAGCCCGCGAAACTCCATCACGCGCCAGCTCTGCCTGGTGTCAATGAAGAGACTCGTGACAAGTTGATGACGGCGCTAATGAGAGCGACATGCCTCTCCGATCAGTGGGACCCTCCACAGTGGTCGATGCCGAGGACGGGAGTCCTTGGAACGGCGCGGTCGTACGGCGTTGACCCAACGCCACCGCACGCGATCTTGATCAGAGCGAAGGATATGGTGCCGATGGCTGATCCTGGCGAGAAGTGCCCGCTCGATCGAACCAGGTTTTTGCCACAGCTCGGCTGGGAAGATATGCAGGAGGGCTTCGTGGAACAGGTCATTGAGACGGCCGGAAATCACTACAGCATCTTCGATCAGGAATATGTAAGTTACACAAATTTCCTCACTGGCGAATCAGTTTATTGAACATTTCGCTCGCAGATCGATGGTATCACGGCACACATCAGGAAAAGTTTAGACATGGCGTTAGACTAGATCGCAGAAACCGGGTATGACGCTGAACATGCTCCCACAGGCCTCTGCAAGAAAGTTGTTTCAGGTACCAATAGACGTTGATGACAATTCAGTATTCTCCGTGAATCTTTGATGCAAGCTCCTGCGGAAAGTGTTCATGCTCATCAAATACCAATGTGGACACTGTCTACATAACGCTAAATCTGATGCATCTACGTCTTAACCCGCAATGCTGTGGAATGGGGCAAAATGATGCAGGTCTAGTTATCGCTTTACGGCAAAATCTGCTCGTACCGGTCCTTCTCGTCGTCCGGTGCCACGTTCTTCCACTGCACCGCCCGGACTGGATCGTGAGCCCACTCCCTCAGCGCGAAGAAATCACGGCAATGAGACTTCTGATCATCCGTTGTATGTCCAACTCCCATTCCATGCACGTATGATATCGGTGTTGCGTCAGCCAGGCAGGTCACGGCTGACCGGACCGTGTTCAGGCAGTGGATAACATGCCCAGGCTCCCACTTAGACGTCTTGTTGAGAACTCGGTAGCCAATGTCTTCGAAGATGATAGACTGAAATGCAGTCAGTATTCATGTATACACGCTTTCTCTGTACTTAGACTTACAACGCAGTGCATTTGATGGAAGGCTCTGATGCTGTACAACTCGGACCCTTTTCTGGTAACATACGCGGGCAGCGGTTGCCTTTCGTCGTTGAAATCCATGTAAGTCGTGTATTTGCCGTTGATCCGCACATTCGAAGCTGCCAGCAGAATAACTAGTCAGTAACAACAGTCTCGCAAATCGAGCAGCTGAGCCTGGCGTACCGTTATGTAGCATCTTGAAATCTCTGGCTGCAGCTTGCACTTTCTCAATGCTGTCGAATACATCGGGCGGGAAAAAGTGCGGATCGGTGTCATCGTCGTACTTCATCCATTTTACAGGTTGTCCGATCTCTGTTTCGTTCACTAATTAGCAGTAGGCACATGCCTGAATTTTGGAGAATTCATACCTGGGGGAACGAATCCACTAGGATCAACACCAAGTGGAACACCGCGTTGTTTTGGCCATATCAGCTGAAGCCCTAGAAACACCACCAAGCCGAAAAGCATCGCGATGATCACGCCCTCGACCCATACAATCTTCTGAACTCGGCGTAGCCGTTGATCCCAAAGCATCCGGTCGTGATTCCATTCATCGGGAAAAGTGGGCGAGTGTCCATGGCCGTCCCGGCCTTCCAGCTCCATACCGTCGAGACTGTCAAGCTCATCGTCGGCATCTGCCTCGTCGAGAGCGCTGTACTTCATCCGCTCCATGTCTTTGGCAAACTTCACGCTCTTGCTCTTATCCATGGTGACTAATCAATCGTCTGGTCAACAATGCGTTCAACCTATAAAGTGATGATAATGGCTGCGCGAGCCCAGATGACAGGTCCTGCACCACCACAACCACCGAGACTTCGACTGACACCTGCAAGCGATTGCGGTCGTAACCCTCAGCAGCGGACCGAAGGGGCAAGGTTTATGCTGTTGTTTCAATCGCAGCCAGGTACCCACAGCGGACCGAAGACACCCATGGCGACCGCTTTAGGAGCTACGAGTCAGTCTACCGCCAGACAGCTAGCTCCCCCTCCCTGGAACCAAAGGGTTCAGCTTGTTCAGCGCTGCAGATGATCACGTTTACTGGCATTTCACCAATCTTCCACTGGTGATAGCAGCATTGTATATCGCCACGGAAGAAACTCATCCTACGAGCACAAACGTCCCCTCAGCAGGATTCAGGAACAGCAACCCATCGGCAATGGATGCAAAGAAAGATGAAGTGACATGGAGGTCACTCCCAAGAAAAGATCAACTGGCGATTCTGTGCTTTTTACGGTTTGCCGAGCCGGTTGTTAGCATCTCGTTGCTTGTACGTGACGTCCCGGCGGCACAGTGATGGGGCCTGTGAACCGATCATGCTGACTTGAGCGTGACAGACCTATCTTTTCTACCAGCTTCAATCATTAGACCCTAATCTGGACTCGGGCGCAGTCGTCCGGCAAGTTGCGTACATGCAAACGAGCTTCATGCTCTCCCAATGCTTCTCGTCGATGTTCCTCGGAAGACTGGCAGATTCCCACCGAGGAGGACGAAAGCCGGTGCTCCTTTTGGGAGTGGCTGGATCACTGATTGGCTGCGTTTCATTTGGCTTCATCACTAATTTCAAGCAAGCGCTGGCTCTACGCATCCTCGAAGGCCTCGTCAACGGCAATGTCGCAACCATTAGAACCATGGTCTCGGAGGTTGTAGCTGAAAAGAGGTGCGTATTCTTCATCGATGGTCCTCCAGAGAGACGCCCCAAGAAGAAAATACTAAGAAGAAAACCAGATATCAGCCGCATGCCTTCTTGCTGCTTCCAATCTCGTTCAACGTCGCGGCGATGTTCAGTCCCCTGATGGCCGGACAGTTAGCGGACCTCGCAGGAAAATACCCTGAAAAGTTCGGGAACAACGCTTTCCTGAAGGCCTGGCCTTACGCACCACCGGCACTGCTGAGCGGTTTTTTCCTTCTGATTGCGTTCGGCGCCGTCTTCTTTTTCCTAGAAGAGGTAGGTGACCTTCGACTCCTTTCCATTCAGAACCATGCATACTAGGTATCTAACTCTACTGTAGACTCTCGAGCCGCTCAAAGATCGCTACGACCCGGGCATAGCTTTCACGAGAAAGGTTAGCGCAATGATATTTGGAAGAAAGGTTCCATCAGCGAGCAGAGTCGCCCAGGAGGAGGCTTCGCACGAGGAAATGTCCCGCATGATCACCGACGATGCGGAGGCAGCAGAGGAGAGGGACTCTGAAGAGCACCCTGAATCGCTAAAGCCCGCCAAACCCCAGCGGATTCTTCCACTGAAACGGATGTTCACCAGGAACATGTGTCTGACGCTCGTGTCATACGCAATCCAGGAGTACCACATCACGACTTACAACACTCTGTGGACGAGCTTTCTTAGCGACCCGGTTGACACAAAGAATCAAGCTCGATTGCCGTTCTTCTTCTCGGGCGGGGCTGGAATGAAGCCAGACCGCATCATGTGGTCTCTATTCATCGTGGGAGTGATGGGACTTCCGACGCAACTATTCATCTACCCGCGCATCAACCGCCGCTTGGGGACACTGAAAATGTGGCGGACCTTCATGATGGGCATGCCTGTGCTTTACTTCATCATTCCGTACATCGCAGCCGCGCCGTCTACTAAGGCTCCACCGGCAGGTAAAGAAGGCTTTTGGGTCTGGTTCCTCATTGTCTTGGCCCAAGTTCTCATGGTCGGAACTTCGACATTTGTTGTTCCCGCACAGCTGGTGTTGACAAACCTGTAAGTTCCATACCTCCGAAATGATTAGTGTCTCAACGGATGCTAACCACCGTCAGGTCCTCGCCCCATCCATCCGCTCTAGCACGAACACACAGCAGCGCCTTTCTTCTCACGGGCTTGGTGAGGTCAGCGACGTCATCAATTGCTGGCGTTGTATACAGTTACGGATCCTCGCACAACATTACAGGCCTCGTTTGGTGGATAGCCAGTGCAGTAGCTGCAGTGGGATGCCTGAATAGCAGGATTGTTAAGGAAGGAAACGGCCATGAAATCTGGCTTACGGGTGATACTGAGTAGCTCTTTCCACCATGCAAACCGTTTCAATGAGATAGAAGGCTAGACCAGACTTTGACAAACGAGCGAATAGAAGTGGAGAAATCAACGGGTGCTATGCACGAAGGGCAAATGGTGATTTTCCACTCTTGCGCTGACGTGGCTGTTACATTGCACTCACTCAAAGATGCGCATCGCGTCGGATACAACGAAGTAAAGGAGTGACAGTTTCTACAATAGATCGAAACGAAAGACTATCCTTTTGACGTACAGTGCAGTTCACCTTATTTTGCTCCAAATAAGACAGGAGATGTTCAATCTGAACTCCGCCAGATGTCAGGCCTTTAGTCCATGTCTTCCTCAGTCATGAAGCCACGTTTCTCGATGTCATCGGTAACGAAGCTTCGCTTGTCCTCGGTGACGAAAGATCGCTTGTCCTCGGTAACAAAGCCTCTCTTCTCGGGCTCCGTAACGAAGCTACGCTTGTCTTCGGTGACGAAGCCCCTCTTCTCGGGTTCAGTAACAAAACCCCTCTTCTCAGTAATGAAGGACCTCTTCTCCGGTTCAGTGACGAAGCCACGCTCCGTGATGAACGATCTCTTTTCCGGCTCAGTCACAAACCCCCGCTTCTCCTCCGTCACGAATCCTCTCTTCTCAGGCTCTGTAACAAAAGACCGCTTCTCTTCAGTCACAAAAGCCCTCTTCTCCGGCTCAGTGACAAAGGAGCGCTTGTCCTCCGTCACAAACCCTCGTTTCTCAGGCTCGGTGACGAAAGAGCGCTTGTCCTCGGTGACAAAGCCTCTCTTCTCGGGCTCCGTAACAAAGCTGCGTTTGTCTTCGGTCACGAAGCCCCTCTTGTCGGTGACGAAATTGCGCTTCTCTGGCTCGGTCACGAAGCTTCTCTTCTCAGTAACAAAACCTCTCTTGTGTGGTTCGGTGATGAATGAACGTTTCTCAGGCTCGGTAACAAAGCTTCGCTTGTCCTCGGTTACGAACCCTCGCTTCTCGGGCTCCGTCACAAAGCTCCTCTTATCCTCGGTGACAAAAGATCGAGGATCTGACTCAATTATCAGTACTGCGCTGCCTTGGATGCATGAAGTCCCGGGGAAAGGCGTGGACATACCAAGGTCATCGGTCACAAAACCACGCTTTTCGTCTCGCTGGATCGCTGGAGCAGCAAAGGAGGCAGCCACCAAGCTGGCGATGGAGATGATGGTTGAGACTCTCATATTGTGCACTGAAGAGATTGCTGTGTTTTAATTTGTTATGTTGTTGAGTATTCTGATACGATTGCTCTACGCAACAGGCCCTCAGAGAATGGTTCGGCCACATGTGTTCATATATCCTGTCGGCATCTGATACCTCGTTCACCGTATTTGCCGAACTACAAGTCTGCTACGTCAATAGACATAGAATAGGTTAGTGATTCCGCCGTAATGGATTGGTCACCTTCACTGGAGCTTACCGATATTTTACTAAGGTTCCACCCGCATAGTAGAGTCGGTGTATTTCGAAGTTCCCATAGCATCGTAACTTCAACAAGCATGATACACACTTGTCGTACAAACGAGGCCTTTTGCTTGGTTCCGTTCAACATGGTACAGAACTATCGAACGAACGTAGATTATCTAGAGGCCGGGGAGGCTGCCTACATCCGCATACTGAAACCTAATTTTGGCGTGTGGGATGACGGAAGTCAAATTCGGGGCAGGTGGGATGCTTTACAGCTTGAATTAAACTCCCGCGGAAGGCATATTTCCAAACACATCAAGGTTGGTTCGTGTACAACACGAATGGTGAGTGGACAATACAATTTCGGTTTCGGCACGGTGGACGTGAAGCTGAGGCTCATAATCATGTGTCTACTTGTCTCGGTAAACCATTGGTTTCTTCGTAATGGTAGCTGATGACTACTCACCACCCCATACTCCATCATGGCACAATTGACTCGGGTCTCGGGCATCATACGACCTAACGACTTATGCCTATTTAGGAAATTGTTGTGAACCTGCAACTTAATAATAGTGCACACCCTACCTAGTACATACACCTGGTACTGAGATCGCGCCCTAACTTCCTGATGAAGAAACTATTCTCATACAATGATTCCACATGCTGCATAACTACCAGCCCCTGTGATCGAACTCCTTGTTGGACCCATGGAGATGCGAATGCTCATGGACATCAGCAAGCTTCCCGCCTTGATCAGACCCTTTCTTGGCCCCCGGCCTGAGGTCAAACTGGTGAACCGATATATCGCTTGGTGGCCTGCAAGAAGTGAATCGCGGCCAACAAGGGATGCTGACGTGTTCCTTCGGTCTCGCATAGTCTTGCATCAGTGCGTGATCAAGGCACTGGTGGTAGTCGATGGTTCCAGACACAAGCCCGTGGACAATTTTCACCTCCTTTTTCCAGATGAATGCGCAAGAGTAGAGATGGAACTCCCACGTCGTCCAAGCCTGTGCGCTCGTTCCCGCTTCCACGTCAGTCCATGACTGCTGCGTGGTCGCATTGCGATCCGTGAAGAAGGTCCATGGTTTCGCGGAGCGAAACTCCGCATCCAAGGCGGCATCGAAACAGTTGGGGGGTTGCCATGTAGCCGTGTAGGATTCAAACCTGCATCCTCGAGATTTTGCCGTGGAGCTGTCTCTGCCACAGGGCCATTTGTCTGCCATGAGACCGGTCACAAGGCCCAGACCCTTTGTATGCCCAAGGGTGACGTCCTCGATTTGGGCTGATGGATCAGTTACCTGAATGAGGCTGATGAGAACAAAGGTTGCGGACCCTATGAGAAAGAGAAGTATCTTGACACACAGCGGGAGGGCGGTGCTCCGAGGCATCATCGGGCTGGGGATATCGTTACGGTTTGCCATGCTCTGGTGCAGTGAATAGAATGAAAGGACAGAAGCAATAGTAGCGTAGATAGATTCAGCAGCGAGGAGGATAACGAAAGCAATGTGCAAGTTAATGTAATCCTTGTAGAATGAAACTAAGCGCCAGCCTTCCCCTCGACTAAAACACCTGCAGCAAACCTCCCTACCGCACGACGCACTCGGAGCTCAACGCTCTCGCATCTACACTTGTAATAGACATAGCCTCGGGGTGGGATCCCGACTCTCAAACTCTAGTGTATTGTAGTCTATTGCTAACTATGATGTCAGCCATATGAGCAGCATATAATCCGTCATGGAAATCTTTGAAGCCGTTGCGGGGTTGCACTGCAGCCAGAGCTACAACATGCAACAAGGATCATGGGACTCGGGATATAAGCGGTTATGAGACAAGCTTTCTTGCTTTAGCTTCCCGCCGCGGGAGCTAATTCGAGTATAAGCCCCCGGCGCTCAGACTACAAGGTTATGGTGATCAATCAACTTAGGAAGTATCGAGAGCGAGCCCGCGCGGGGACGGTGTGTATATCGGATTTTCTCTCCGAATGAGCGATCCATGTTCAACTGTCTAGACTTAGAGAGCATGCTATCACACTCATCGAATCCAAGGGCAACTGCTGCACCTCGTCGCTTGCTTGATTCATCCCCATCACAACTAGAGCAATGTCTCACAAATCTCACCACACAGACGAAGGGTCGGAAGAGCGACTTCTATCCTCGAGGGGTAGCAGCCACGATGACGAGATACTTGAGGAATTGGCAGCACAACAAGCAGTTGAACGCAATGCGCGACATCGGCCATGGAGAAAGATCTGCGAAGGTGTATTCTACGTTTCCGCAGGAGTTCTCGCAGGGTTTCTTGTTGATCTGATGATGTCTCATTGGCATTTCCCAACAGACAACTCTGTCTCCGTACCCGAATGGACAGTCATCGACGGTGGCCAACGGTTCCGCGCCTGGGCACCATCCGCTCAATGCGGAGACACTCCGGAGAAAGCCATAGCTGCAGGCTGCATTTACGACGACGTTCTCCTGCATTGGATGCCACAATCCTGTTCGTCCCCTGTGCTCATAGATGAGTTCGAACATGTGTGGCCGTGGGAATTCTTTGAAGATCAGAATGCGACTAGCCAAATATCCATCCAGGACGTGAGAAAGGGAACGCAGGACATCAAATGGGTTTCTATGGATTTACATCGTTGGCACTGCGTTGCGACTTGGAAAATTCTCAGTAGTGCAGCTCGTTGGGGAACAACGGTGCCGGGTTATTCAGTGAACTGGAATCATTCTGTTCATTGCGCGGATCATGTATTGATAAACATGCACACGGATGACCCTTTTACGATCAACTCTCATCTTGATATCGAGTACACACCTTGTGTGACTATCGCGGAGGACAGAACGATTGCACGGGCGAAAACGTGGTAGATCGATGCGTACATGGTTCAATCACAACATGGAAATCTGAACTACACCCCAACTCCATGTTGTTCGTTTTCAGAGCACACAAATAATTCGAATGTTTTCATTGTACTTGGCATAGTAATTTGCGTATTGTACGATTGCTTCTGAAAGTACAGGCATGCAATTATTTACAGCTTCACCGGGAAGCGTGTGCGCACTTCTTCTCCGTATCTCTGCAATAAGAGAGGCACCGGACAAAACAGCAATGCAATGAACCCTAGGAGGCTACTACCCCATCCAAGACCCAGATGATCAAACAGAGGTTCGCCTGCCAAAGGTAAAAATGTGCCGACGACACATCTGAAGATGGTTGCTGCTGCAATTGCTGACGCGGCATACTTGGTAAACGCATCAATAAGGTACGTATGCAGCGGCATCTACGTTTGAGTGAGAAACTTAGAAACAGTACGGTGGTGTTTGGACATACCATTACTAAGATAAGCCCGACACCAAGGATGGCCGACCCAATGATGGGCAATATCCAGTGCAAGTGGTACTGGGCTGTCCATCCGTAGAAGAATAACCCCACGGGAGTCAGTAGAATGGACCGTGCCATTAGTGGCAGGCGGTACTCTGGCATACGATTTCCATTGTTTTTCTTAGTCCGAAGGTTGGCCATGCGATCGTTGAATATTCCGTTGCTGATGGCGCCTATACTGAAGCCAACGCCCAACCCGAGGTAAACTAGGCCGACGGTTCCGGTTGTAAAGCCATACTCTGAAGTAAAGACGTTTGTAAACGTGGTGAGAAGTATATACTAATGCTTAGTGAGAAAGTTGAACCATCTAGCTGGGATTTCATAACTTACAGTGTACCCGTATGCTAGCGCGAGAATGGTAGATAAAAGGAAAACGATAGGACTGAAAAAGAACATCTTTAGGGGACGGACCAGCGCATTGAGGAGCAAAGTTGAGACTGGTGCTGCTGTCATCTGTCCATGGACGACGAAATTGAGCTCCGGATATTGTTTCTGGAAAGCGGCGGCTTTGTTCTGTAAGAGTCGCGGAGGATATGTCTCACGCAGCCCGAAAAAGGATATGACTGTAAACGCGCCGGACTAGTGCAAATCATGTCAACTACACGGATCGAACGATAGCAGCTGAATTGCGACATACCGGAATGGCTGTCAACCAAAAGATCCATCTCCATCCCAGGCCTTGAGTGATATATCCAGCAGCCACGGGGCCAATGGCCGGACCAAGCATGGGCCCAACAAAGTAGACGGACACAACCACTCCACGACGCTCAGGTCGGATGAGGTCCGCGATGGTTCCACCGCCGATGGCTAGCGGAGCTGCGCCCGATGCGCCGGAAAGAAAGCGAAAGATAATGAGTGCCGCCAGGTTTGGTGATACCGCACTTAAGATGCTGAAGAGAGTGAACGTGACGTTGGAGATATGATACAAGACGGCTCTTCCATATACCTCGGACAGAGGTGCAAACATTCTGGCATCATGTGAGACACGTACAAAGAATGTATGGCACTTTGATCAAACTTACATTGGGCCCACGGCGTAGCCTAAGATGAAAATGGATACGATGAATGATGATAGTATCTGACTGTCGCTATGGAACTCTGCCATCATGTCTGGAACACCGGGAGCACACATCGCAGACGCCACGGACCTACTTCGCTGTGAGTGATGGCATCGTGACGTGAATTCAAGGGCTGTGACTCTTACGCGATGAACGTGAGAATACTAACAAGACCGACATTAATGAACTTGTCCAATGCGGGCCAGTTGATAGGTTTGCTCTTGTCGTCTTCCCCGTCCCAATCAACGACGACGTTTCCTTGCTCGTCCCGTAGCTCAATGTTGACCTCTTCGGCGCGCTTCTCGCGAACCTTTTCGCGGAACATCTTGGCATTCAATGAGAGTTGCTGCTCCGAGAATTTCCCCAAAAGGTCGAGAGTGAACGAATGCAAGACAAGACACAACTTGTCGAACACGTTGGATATGCAATTGACCCGGTTGTGACCTAGCACAGGCGAGATGTTTCGCTTTCTGGTTGATAGTACCGACACACCAACACTGATCTGGAAGCTGAGATGCAAATTCGAGACCCATACAGAGATAGCTGCGGGAGTATCCTTCGCCTAACCCCAAGGGAATCGCGCCCGACCATCAGCTGGCACTTCTTTCCCGAGGCGCCAACCAGGATGCATATTGAACGAGCACGGCATAGTCAGGATACCCCAGGACTGCTAGGAATGCAGCAAGGTTTGCGGTTTAGCCGCCAGTCAGACGGTCCAAAACTCTTTCTGCACGTAGCATCTATGGGACGTAAATGTACAGATCATATCGGCTATTGCGGCAACCTTCGCTTAGAGAGAGATGAAACTTTAGACATTATTGCAAACTCTCAGCTTCATACGTGTTGCCCGGTTCATGTCTTGCGATACTCTCGGTTAAGACGAATGTAACACAAAACTGAGTTCGATCATCCCAAGTCTCCACCACACCAGAGAGGGGAAACTGCAGCTTTGTGGGGGTTATGGACAATGATTGAACAAGCTCTGACATCTTCTGGACTACCATGGCGCAAAGCCAATCGATTAAATCGTCGACTTTGGGTTGCGTCAGACTCAGACGGAGCTTATCTTAGTTCTCCGTCAGCGAAGAAGTTTGAGTAGCTGGGAATATGGAGTATCAATACACGTGCTCTACGGAGAGTAACAACTTAAGCAGGGGCATTCCCCACACTGGGACTTAAGCAAAACTTCCGTCTGAACGAAGATCTGAAACCGCCTGACAGAGAACGTTTCCTATTGTACGCAGTAGCGATCCAGATTGGGCTTCTGCGGACCAAAGCGATGGTATGCACAGCGTGCACTGAAAGCTACAGTACCCATTTTCATATTGTACAGTAAGCTTAGAAGGCCTTGTAATAATTGAGTCTTGATCTGGCGCAATACGCACAGAGAATCATGGGCTGTCTGATGCGGTAGCCAAAAACACCCTTTGCAAACCCGAGTCTCTCAAATTACCCCCAGTCCAGTCAACGTGGCCAAAACCAGCAGTCTTGAACGAATCTTTCCACACCATCTCATCCGCCGTCGCATGTGTCCGGCCATCTTTGAATAGCCACCAGCCTTCGAACAGGCCGAACACAAAGTCTGCCCAACATAGCCGTTCCTGCACCTCCATCACGACCGCAAACCCATCCGGACGAAGGAATTGTCGCGTGTTGCGGAGTGACTTGACCATATCGGGAGTGGCATGAACGGCATTTACCGCAATCACGACGTGTTGAGTCCCAATCAACTCCGCGGGCGGCGGTTTCTCGATATCTTGCGTCCGGAAGGTCATGAATGGATATTCTTGAAACTTCCGCGCAGCTTGGGCAGTGAAACCACCGGCAAGATCCGTGAATGTGTATTCTACCGGAACGCCAGACTTGGCGAGTAGTGGCGCAAGCCATTTTGTCGTGCCGCCAGTGCCAGCGCCGAGCTCGAGGATCTTTAGCTGGGCCCCGGACTGCACATCAATGTTCTTCGTGAAACGGGCCATGAAGTCTTCCATGAGTTTGTGAAAGGCCTTGCTGGGATGTGCGGCTCCGTAGATGTCTTCGAGATACTCTCGGCCCTCTGGCGAGCCGAAAATCGATCTCACACCGTCTGTCCGGCCGGCGTAGATTTCTGCGAGATTATTGCCTGCATGTGCCACAAGTTTGTTGAGTGACGTGTATGTTGGATAGTCGCTCAATATTGCCTGAAGGGCCTCCTTCTCGTTGCCAGGTGGGATCGGCGTATCTGTGCGGACATACTGGTCTCCTTCTTTACGGATGAGACCGGCCTCTATGAGCGACTCGTAGCAGAACTCCAGTTGCTTCTGGACATTGGCAACAGACTTGATTGGGCGTAGCTTCTGTCCTGGTTTTGTCCTTCCAACGTCACATCGTAGTTTTTGAAATGCTTTGATGATCAGGAGTACAATCAGCTTTTTCTGACGTTCGTGAACATTTTCGTAGTATCCCGCGAATCCGGCTTCCGTAACGATGTTGTCGGTGTTTGACTTTGTTTCTTGGAAAGATGAAAGCGCTGTGGCGTAGGGCACCACGAACTGTGGCTCATCACCAGTCGTGAGCTTGCCCTCAGATGCCCCTGTGGCTGAGGTAGGCAGGGTTGTTGATACTTTCGTTGCTGACATGGTAACAGCTGGTTGCAAAGACGTGTGTTTGCCGCCGCGGAATCGAGGCTGACCTGAGTACGAAAGTCCACAATATGAGAATGCGTCCGCTATTCCTGCTGGTTTCCCCCAGATCATGGAGCCTCAGTTGAGCCACCGGAAAGAGACGGTCAGTTCACAGTGAGCGAAGTGGGTCATTTTTGACTCCGGTGCGACGGTCCGCTCGGAAAGGACGAATCTCGAAGCGAATCATGAAAATTCACAGCGATTTTGGGAAGGTGGCCGGGGTTTGAGTCATGCGTTCGGTGGTCCACCACCCCTCGTGTCACCACGAGCTCCCCAGGGATTGTGGTGATGCCAGTGCCTGATTGTCTTCAAAGAACTTTCAATGGAAGACTGGCGATTGAAATATCCTCGTTGCATGCAGTGATGAGCGCAATCAAAAACGCTCTCGGATATAGTAAATGAACAGCTCGATTCATGAGTCTATCTAAGCTTAAATAGTGTACACCAACTTTCCTGCACTGACGTTGCCTTGCTTCAAGTACTTAATTCCATGCAACACACCTTCCAGCCCTGAGCCGCCTTCATTGACGATTTGTCTCACCGGGCGAAACTTATCCTCTTGAAGCAACTTGTCACTCACGGCCCAAAACATCTTTCCGAACTCATGGTCCTCGGGCCTCGGCTCGACAACTGTTTCCTTCTCGATCGTCTCTCCTAAAATTGTGTACCCCAGCGTTGTTGAGCAATTCACTTTGGGGTTGATCTTCTTGACAATTGAAGGCACCAAGTACAAAAGACTGCTGTAGTGACCACCCCGGATTGACATTGCAGCTGCACAGATGCGGGCGGATTGAGCTGTTGCGATGCAATCCCATGCATGCCTCAGTCTTCCCTTGGTGAATGCCTTGATCTGTTCTGAGCAGTCTTCCGCTCTGTAGTCGACGCAAAAGTCGGCTCCGAAGGACTTGACATAGTCGAAGTTCTTGGGTGAGCATGTGACCACGACAGTGCAGTTAGACATCTTTGCGAATTGGATGCCCATGATGCCGGATGCTGTGCTGCCGCCGTAGATCAGGAGCGGAATGGGCTCAGGCGACGGCTTGGTGGGCAGAGGAAGTTCAAGGGACTGGTATAGTCCTTGGCCCTACATCACAAATGAGGAACGTTCTGTGACATTTCCTGCAGGCGCACTTACCACTGCGACGAGACCTGAGGTAATTGCGGCAGCTTCGGTGTCATCCACATGATCTGGGATCTTCAACTGAAGGCTGGCTTTGGCGATGAGGTATTCGGCAAACGCGCCGTCTTCCTTCTGCCTCACGTTTCTTCAAACATGTTAGCAGGCTGTCTCATGCACGGAATCATTATCACTCACGATCCGTTGACAATGCCGAAGACCCTGTCACCGACTTTGAAGTCCTTATCCACACCATTGCCCACTTCGACGACCACGCCGGAGTACTCAAGTCCCGGACGTGTGCCTGTGGGGTTTCCCACCCACATGAAGTCGATGTGCTTCCAGTCTGACGGGTTGATGGCAACCGCTGTGGTTTTCACCATGATGTATCCACCCCTCAATTTCGGCAAAGGCGCCGTGGTGATTGCGGCCTCGCCACGGCCCTTGATCATGATGGCCTTCATCTCGCTGGGAAGGTTCGACGACATGACTTTTGTTGACTGGAAGCTACAAGACCTGATAAAGTTGATGAAGTTTCAAAAAGTGATAAACGCGATTGAGCCACAACAAGTGAATGAAGTATGGCAGACCTGGTGATGATGGGAAATAACGTCAAGTTACCTGCAATGCCAGAGTCAACATGGTCTTCGAGAAGCATTCCAATCCCAGTGACTACAGTAATTTCGATTGTGAGTACAGCCTGTTCCTAGCACCCATACGTCTGTACCTGAGCAATCGGAGTGGCCCACCGTCCCCGGAATTGACGTGAGTGTGCCATCCGTTCTTCGGACCGCGCTTTGTGCAGGGGCCAGGCCACGAGCACCTCACAAACAACGCCAATCAGACGGCCAATCAGAAGAAACAATTCTTTGTGACTTTTCGGAATTGGGTATCTGACTTTCGCAATCGTCGGTCTGGACGAATCGGGTGATGTTGTAGAATGACGCATTAGACCGAATGCACTATCGTCAGCACTTTGTTCGTCTCTTGTATTAAGAAGCTTTTTTTTAGCGTCGAAGTAACTCGCAACTCACGCAGGATACGCCCTTAAACCTCACGATACCATCACATATTTTGACTTCAAGTTCTAAGGCGTTGCGGAATCTTATCACTCATTCACATTGACAACATTGGACGATGTCACCCAAGTCGGGCATCACGACGCCGTCGTCCGAGATGGACGCCTCAGATCCCATCGCCATTGTGGGCATGGCCGTCAGGCTGCCCGGCGGTGTCCGCAACACCGAGGACTTTTGGGATCTGATGATGAACAAGCGGAGCGGTCTCATTCCCATTCCCAAAGAGAGGTGGAACAGCGAGGGCTTCTACAGCCCTGTCGCGAAATGGGGAACCGTTCAGAACAAGGAGGCCTACATGTTCAGCCAGGCTGACAACGATCTCACCAAGTTCGATGCGTCGTACTTCACATGTGGTGAGAAGGAGATTGAGCGCATGGATCCTATGCAGCGTCAGCTGCTAGAGATCACACGCGAGTGCCTGGACAATGCGGGCGAGACCAACTGGCGCGGCGAAGAGATTGGCTGCTACGTTGGCAACTTTTCTTCAGATTGGCAAGATGATTTGTCCATGGACCCCCACGCGTCTGGTCTGTACCGTGGTTCAGGATATCTCGACTTCCTCCAGCCTAACCGTGTGTCTTACGAATATGGCTGGACAGGTCCCAGGTAAGTCTAAGCCCTGTTTCTGATACCCGATGAACATTGTCTAACATGAACCAGTATGCTTGTCAAGACTGGCTGCTCATCTTCCATGGTGGCCCTGCATTTGGCAGCGGAAGCAGTCCAAAGCGGCGCCTGCAAGTCTGCGATGGCCCTTGGCTGCAACCTCATCACCTCTGTCATCACATCCATCGTCTTCACTGAGACAGGTGTCCTCTCTCCGAGCGGCAAGTGCAAGACATTTGACCTGCTCGCCGACGGCTACGGTCGCGGTGAAGCAGTCAACGCAGTTTACGTCAAAAGATTAAGCGACGCTATTAGGGACGGCAACCCCGTCCGTGCAATCCTCCGCGCAAGCGGAACTAATAACGATGGCCGGTCCAACGGAATCATGAGTCCCAACACATATCTCCAAGAAGCACTAATTAGAAAGACATACGAAAAGGCCGGCCTGCCGTTTAACAAGACGGCTTTCTTTGAGTGCCACGGCACTGGTACACCTACCGGTGACCCTCTTGAGGTGGCTGCTGTTGCTCGCATTTGGAAGGATCACGACGGTGTCCTTATTGGCGCTGTAAGTCTATTTTCATCTTCGGGGGCTGTTTTCAATCGCTAATTCACATAGGTCAAACCCAATGTTGGACACTCCGAAGGTGCTGCTGGTCTGACCAGTGTCATCAAGGCTATCCTGGCTCTCGAAAACCGAGTCATTCCTCCCAACATTTACATGGAGAACCCGAACCCCAGAATTCCCTGGGAGGAGGCCAAGCTTTCAGTCCCGACTGAGCCCACAGCTTGGCCAGCCGATCGCGACGAGCGTATCAGCGTTAACTCTTTTGGTGTTGCTGGCTCCAACGCTCACGTAAGTATGGCCCGAGTAATGTCACTCTCTTTCCGTTCTAACCTTCCATAGGTTATCTTGGAGTCTTATGAGGGCTGGCTGAAACTGCAAGATGATGCCAGTTCTGTCAGTTCCGACTCTGGCGTGAGTGTACGGGCTCCCGGTCAACGCTTGCTCCTCTTCTCCGCCGCCCACCAGACATCTCTGGAGAAGCAAGTGGACCAGCACAAGGAGTATCTCGAGAAGAAGTCATCCGATCTGGATGATCTCGCCTACACTCTCAGCCGCCACCGTGAGCATCTCAGCTGTCGCGCGTATGCTATCGCCGATGAGAACGGTGCATTCGAGCCCAGCAGCTTCAAGCGCAAGCCCACTGTCGCTCGACGAACCGTTCTGGTGTTCACCGGTCAGGGTGTTCACTGGGCCGGCATGGGCAAAGCTCTCATTGAGACCAATGACGTCTTCCGTGCTTCCATTCGCAAACTGGATACTTGGCTTCAATCTCTTCCCGAAGCTCACCGTCCTGATTGGACACTCGAGAAGGAGCTGTCCATCGACGACGGGTCCAGCAGAGTTGGTCAGCGCGGCTACTCTCACCCATGCGCCACTGCTGTCCAGATTGCTCTCACGGATGTCCTTGCCAGCCTGAACATCAAGCCTGATGCAGTTACCGGTCACTCTGGTGGTGAGGCTGCTGCTGCTTACGCTGCGGGAAGCATTTCTGCCGAAGCTGCTCTTGCAGTCGCCTACTTCCGTGGATGGCTTTTGGTCAACGGCACTGTGCCTCCTGGTACCATGGCTGCTGTTAGTCTCGGTCCCAAGGAAGTCGAGCCGTTCCTCATTCCCGGCGTCGTCGTTGGATGTGAGAACAGTCAGCTGAACACAACTCTGTCTGGTGACCCAGTCTGCATTCAGCACTGCATCGACCAGATCACCCGTCGTCACCCTGACGTCAAGGCTAAGGTGCTCAACCTCGAGACTGCCTTCCACTCTCCATGGATCGAGCCCCTGGCTGGACCTTACGAGGACCTTCTCAAGCCATACCTCGCCGATGCCAAGGCTCCCACTGTTCCTCACTTCTCCAGTGTCACTGGTCTGGAGATGAAGGGAGACGAATTTGGCGCAAACTACTGGCGCCGCAACTTTGTCCAGCCTGTCCTGTTTAACACGGCTCTTCGCACCCTCATGAAGAGCAACAGCAACAACCTCTTCATTGAGGTCGGACCTCACCCAGCCCTTCAAAGGCCGATGAACGAAATTCTCCGCAGCATTCCCGAGGCCGCCTGCGAGTACATCTCGACTCTCCGCAGAGCGGAGGATACCAACATCTCCATGCTTCGCCTCGCTGGTGAGCTCTTCGTTCAGGGCACACCAGTTGGCATGTCGACCATCATCCCCAAGGGCCGAGTTCTGACCGACTTGCCCAACTACCCTTGGCTTCACGATGTGTCCTACTTCGAAGAGCCCAAAAACGCGTCCCGCTACAAGCAGAGGAAGCACACCCGCCACGTCCTTCTCGGAGCCAGAGTTCTTGAGGGTAACGACATTGAGCCTGCTTGGCGCAACATGCTGGACCTGAAGGAGGTGCCTTGGCTGATGGACCACATTGTCAATGGGCAGATCGTCTTCCCAGGTGCTGGCTACATGGCTATGGCTGGAGAGGCCATGCGCCAGGTCGCGAATGGCCAGGACTCCTACACCATTCGAGACATGTCCATCACCACTGGCATGACCGTCCCCAAGGAGAAGAAGATGGAGTTGTACACCCGTATGATCCCTGAGGACAAGCCCAGCGCCGAGGGACAGTGGTACAACTTCAAGATCATGTCTTGCGACGGTCATCACTGGGTCACCCACTGCTCCGGATTCATCCGCTCTGGTGCGGAGGCTGAGAAGACCTCCATTACAAGTGCCCAGGCCGAGCAGGAGTTTGCGCGTGAGATCGATGCTGAGGGATGGTACAAGGCCGTCAAGGCTGTTGGTATTGACTGGCAAACTGCTTTCCAAGGCCTTGACCAGATCACTGCCAGCACTACCACTAGAGAGGCCACCGCAACTGTCTACGACTTTGAAGACACCACACACTACGCGGCTCATCCAACCCTCTTGGATCAGATGCTTCAAATCAACCTCGTTGCCCAAACTCATGGTCAGAAGAGACGTCTTGACAGCATTCTCCTGCCGACGTTCATCTCTCGCTTAGGCGTCTTAGGTGACCAGGACCTTCGCATGAGAGCTTACGGCAGCATCAAGGACAGTGCCGAGGGCATGACCGCCAATGCTGTTATCTACACTGAGGAAGGCCGCCCGACTGTCTACCTGGAGGGTCTGTCGTACTCTGAGCTCCCGGTCGCGAAGCGGGAGGAGGTTTTGCTCGGCTCTACCTTCGAGTGGAAGCAGGACATCACTATGGTTGATTCTGTCGCCGAAGTAGAGACCACCGACGCTACTCAAGAGCTCCGCGACCTGATCGGTCTTCTATCATTCAAGATTCCCGACGCTAGGATCATTGAGATTGGCTCCGGAGCAACTGACGTCACTCGCATTGCCCTTGAAGCTGCCCATCCCTCAGAGCACAAGCGCCTGTACTCTGACTACACTTACGTCTGCACCTCCGAAGAGGAAGTCGAACAAGTGACTGAGTCGCTGAATGAGGTAGAGGGCAACGAGGTGTCTGTCGTGGACATGGAGCAGCTCTCACTCTGCAACGCTGCCGACGTGATTCTTCTGCCTTTGGCCACTTTGCTGTCTGATGATCGCTACCTGCTGGACGACCTTACTGAGTTGAACGGCCTTCAGACAGTTGGTGGCAGACTTCTTGTGCACAACTTTGGCGGCCAACCTGATGCCAAGGCTGACGAGGAGAAGCTCAAGCAGCGCCTGCAGAGCCTGGGCTACAAGCTTCACTCCAAGACCAGCTCTGGCTTGATCCTTGCTGAGCCCACTAAGTCTGCCGATCTCGACCAGAACACCAAGATCACCATTCTCGCTCAAGACACTGCTCATGGAAGCAAGCTTGCGAAGGATGTTCAGACCTATTTCGAGGGACAGGGCTTCAAGGCTCACATCTGCAACGACAAGACCGTCCCCTCGGAGAGCTCCTTCACAATTTCACTCCTGGACGTTGACAGCACCACCGTCTACGACCTCAACTCCGAGTCTTTCCGACCGTTTATGGACAGCCTCTGCAACCTGAAGGGCTCTCTCATCTGGGTTCTTCCCTCTGTTCACGGTACCTGCAAGGATGCTCGCCCGGCCATGATCCAGGGTACCGCCAGAACCGTCCGCATGGAGAATAAGGCGGACATCACCCTCGTAGAAGCCGATGATCTCTCTATTGCTGGAAGCAACTTTGCCAAGGCCATCTACAAGATCTGCCAGAGCCTCCCCAAGAGGCGCAAGGGCGGTGACCTGGATGCCGACTACGACTACGCCATCCTGAACGGCAAGGTGCACATCCCCCGCATGTACTGGTTCGGCTTCTCAGAGCCTGCTGTCAGCAAGTCTCTTCCCGAGACCAAGGATTCCCCCATGTTCCGCGACGGCGCTTCCTACCTCCTCGTCGGAGGCTTTGGAGGTCTGGGTCGGTCAGTTGCTACCTGGTTGCTCGAGCACGGTGCTCGCAACTTGGTCTTCCTTTCCAGATCCGCTGCCAGCGCCCAGAATGAGCCTTTCGTCAAGGAGCTGGAGAGTTACCCCGGTGCGGTCATCAAGACCGTTTCGGGTGATGTCAGCAACGCGGAGGATGTTCTCAAGGCTATCAACGAGGCTCCTAAGCCCGTTGCTGGAGTTCTTCAACTTTCGCTGATTCTCAAGGTAAGTCACATCTTCGTCTCATCATTCCCACATACATGATCTAACATTAGTGCAGGACAACTCCACTGCTGAGATGACATACGAAGAGTGGAGTGGTGTCGTTGACCCTCGTGTCCGCGGAACCTGGAACGTTCACCAAGCTCTGGTTGACGCCCAAGTTCCTCTGGACTTCTTCGTCATCTTCGGTTCTGGAGGTGGCCACACCGGATACTACGGCCAAGCCAACTACAGCGCGGCCAACACCTACTTGGACGCCTTTGTCGAGTACCGCCACAACCTGGGTCTCCCCGCCTCCATCATCGACCTCGGAGTTGTCGGCGATGTCGGCTACCTCCTGGAGCGTGACGATCTCTACGAGGGTTTCAAGAATGGCGGCTTCTTCTTCCTCAAAGAGCAAGATGTTCTCGACTCAGCCGCCATCGCTATCGGCAACTCCAGCGGAGGCCCGTACAGCAGCTTCTGCCTGGGCGGCCTGTCTGAGAAGCCGCTGTCGGACCCCTCCAACCGTGTCAACTGGAAGAGGGATGTTCGCTTCGCGCAGTCTCACTACTTCCACAAGTCCAAGGCCGCTGCCTCTGGCGAGGCCAAGGAGAGTGACGAGGCGGAGACGTTCATCTCTCTGGCCAGGTCTGATCCCACCACGCTGCGCGACAGCGCCACCGTGACCACCTTGGCTCGCTTCATCAGCGCGACCTTGAGTCATTTGATGCTGAGACCAGTTGAGGACTTCCCTCTCACCGAGACCCTGACTTCAATTGGACTGGACTCAATCATCTCTATCGAGCTGGTTGACTGGATCCACAATCAATTTCATATTGGCATGACCTCAATGGAGGTTACTCAGTGCACCTCGTTGATGCATTTGTCGGAGAAGATTATTGAAGAGTTGATTGCATCGGCATAAACATAGATTGAAACATTGACAATTCTGTTCGGGTATTAAGAGGTTCAGGGGCGTAGGAGTTAGGAGGTGATCTTTTCATTGGTTGCAGACACATTTCATAGAGTAGCAGCATTCGTATGAGACACGTTTTATTTCAATTGATATTTTCCATCAATGTTTCTCGGTTGCTTTGTGGTCCTTTGCAAGCACATGATATGATAAGCATATTCATATTATTCATCTGGAGGGGTTCAACAACCACATGTGATATTGCACGTCTTTGTCCTCTACCGTATGTGAGTAGGTCAGTTATCTCGGTGAATACTTTGGTACTTGGGTGCATGCTACAGAGAACTTTCTGTATGGGTCTTTTCGTAATCATTTCATTCTATATAGGATTTCATGAAGCGTCGCTCCTGTATCGTAAATGTGTCTCTCATACCACCGAGGAGCTGTTGGGTGGCATCTCTACAAGCTCTTCATCAGACTCTTCGCCTTCCTCTGACACGCTCTGCTCCACGGCCTGGTACCTAGTCTTTCGAAACCATTGCCACTCTTTTGCAGATGTAACCACGAACAGACTTGTCACCACACTCGCAATCCCAATCATAGCCAACAGATTCACGCTCGCGCGCCAAATAACCCAATCAAGCAAGAGCGCCCACAGCACCTGAGAGTAGATCATTATCGTTGCTGCAGACGAAGAATCGTTCGCGATCCCTGCCGTCAGAAGGTACTCCTGGTCCGCGTTTCAGTATGCTGTGATGCACGTGATGAGGGGGTCAAAGCACTCACCATCGTGAAACCAAAGACACCAAGTGGCGTCAATTTTAGCCAGGCGATGGGGTCTCTCGTGAGATGAATGCTCTTCATGAGGATGAATGAGATTGAGGTGAGTGACACGACGGTCCACGCAAAGTAGTTCACGCTGAAGAGCGGATGCGCCCGTGGGCCGATTGATCGGATTGCTGTCAGTGCGACCTGCGGAGTTAGCGAAGGCCTTGTCTCCATGGGCAAATACTCACAGCTCCTCCACAGACGCTGAGTAGACCAAAACCGAAGCCCATCATACGACCTTTCGTGTCTCCCCCGGTGACTGTCTGGGTAGCGCTTAGAATGGCTGCTTTGTGGTCAAATAAGCCATCAGGTTGTACGACGAGAATGACGCCAATAAGCGCGACGAGGGCGCCGATTCTGTCGACTACTTCAAAGGTGCCAAAGTCCAAGTATCTTATGAGAATCATGGCGATAAGAGGACCAAGGAAATTGAGCGCAGTGGCTTCACTGAGCTTAAGGTACATGATAGAGACTGGCCACATGTCAATAAGGAGTCATTCATACGCGATGCCTCATTAGACCTTACAGTAGAACCCGAAAGCACCGAAGACACCAGCCGCTGCTCTCAAGGCCAGCAGCGGCCTCAACTCAGGTAGACCCCATGGGAAGCTGGGTGCCTGGGTGCGCCATAGAACGATTGTGGCGCCGATGCCGGTAATGAAGAAACGAACGAAGAGGACTTGAAATGGGTGGATGGGTTCATCGCCAGTCTCTAGGAGCTTGGCCAAGCCATTGAGAGCTGCCGCCGAAATCTGTGAGGCCAGTACCAGCAACGAAGGCTTGTGGCGCTCCAAGAATGAGCGACTCAAGCCTTTGTCCATTTTTGGAGGGGATGCATGGGACGGACGATTGTGCAGGTGCTTTGGCAGGAAACGATGTCCCCTCACCCGCGCGCCCAGAGCTGGGTCTAAAGTCGCCCTGCCCAGTTCCAAGGGCCAGCCGTTTTTCCCGCTCCGGTCAGGAGAACAGAGAAACTCGCGGGGCATGAGGGGAAGCAAGCATAAGCTTTCGGAAACAGAGGAGGTAGTTTGAAACGCCGCTCCTCGGTAATGCATTGGCCAACGTTGCATGCTCCCTCCACTGCTTCAAGTCGTGGCCCCGGCTCCGTGTCGCTCGGACCGAGTCGTCTGCCATGCGTGTCTACCTGTGGTATTGGTCCGCATAGTCGCAATTCGGAAGTGGGTCCGGGGTCGACCGGATGCCAGAGGATCGGAGCCGATGCAAGCTATTCCCCGGCCCACTAGCAATGAGTGGATTGGCACTGTCTGAAGAGCTTTGAGTCTGGCTCACAGGTTCACAATTGCTGTTGCTGAGCATCCACGACCACGCTCGTTCTGTATGTTTCAGCATTGCAATCTCATCAACAACGAGCGAGAATGTCTAACCAATTCAACGCTAATGTCAACCACCATACGACTTTGAGTCCGCCGAAGCCGTCATGGGTGGACTTGGGCCCGTTCGGGCTGCCAGGCTCGATCGAGGCCAACGGATATGTTCCGTACTTGATGGCCATTATTCTCGTTGCCTCTGTGATGGCAGTGTCGTTCCGCAGGAACAAGCTATCTGCGTTTCCCGTCATCAACGGAAGCAAAAATGAGTATTTGCGAGCGGGCCGTGCCATGTTGGCGCGGGGCAAGGAGCAGTACGGCAACAAGCCGTTCAGAGTCAACACCGGCCTCGGTGGTGGAGTAATCATCTTGAATCCTAGCGTGATGCCAGAGGTTCGAAATGACCAACGCTTCGACTCTACAAAGTTCCTGTTGCAGGTCAGTCACCATTGTCTCCTCACAAGCGCATTATTAATGCGTTATTAGTACTGGCAAGCTGGAATTCCCGGCTTTGAGCCATACATCGCTCTGGGAACAGAGATCTTGCACAACGTTATCAAGTGGAACCTGACACCAGCCGGAATCTGTGAGTCGGTCTGGTACCGTCATGATTATCAATTGCTGAACTATGGCAGCCAAGCTTAACAAGCCATTGTCCGACGAGGCCGACGCGGCTTTGAGAGACATCTTGACCGATAACGAAGGTATGCATCTGTTTACGGAGATTACTTGCGCGACATCCAATTGACACAACCGCAGAATGGCATGAGGTCCTGCTCGGCGATGTTCTCATTCGCATTGTGGCCCGTGTTTCCTCCGTCATCTTCCTTGGCCCGGAGCTGTGCCGCAACCCGGATTGGCTGAAGATCACGGTCAACTACACGAACACCGCCACCAACGCAGCAAAGGTTCTCCGCCGATGGCCAGTGTTCATGTACAAGTTTATCCACTGGTTCCTCCCCGAGTGCCAGACCGTCCGTGTTATGATGAACGAGGCACGTGCGACTATTGCCCCCGTCCTGGAGAAGCGACGAGCGCAGAAGACAGCTGATCCCAGCCTCGAATTCCACGACGCTCTGGACTGGTATGAGTCGGCTGCAAAGAAAATGGGCGTCGAATACGATCCCGCCGCTCAGCAGCTGGGTCTGTCCGTATCTGCGATCCTGACTAGCAACGACCTCATGTCGCAGAGTATTATGGACCTGTGCAAAAACCCCGACATGTTCGAGCCCCTTCGAAACGAAATTCGCTCAGTCCTTGGAGATGGCGGCTGGAAGCCCACGACTCTCTACAACATGAAGCTACTCGATAGCGTTCTGAAGGAAACCTTGCGCTTGAAGCCTGTTGCAGCTGGTAAGTTCGTCGTCATCATCCTATCCTTTGTTTGACAGGTTCGGGCATTTCCAAATTGGGCGTTTCCATTTCCCGATGAACTGGGCAGATGTTTTCGGAGCTTGACTGGATTAGTGTTTTGCTAACAATTTCGCAGTTGGTCTAGGTCGCCGAGTCATGTCAGAGGTGCGCCTGCAGGACGGCACTCTCCTCCCCAAGGAGTCTGGAATCGCCGTTTCAGCTGAGAAGATGTGGGATCCGGAGATCTATCAAAACCCCCGGGAGTTCGATGGGTACCGCTTCCTGCGCATGCGAGAAGCTTCGGAGCAGGGCGAGAAGACGGCTCAGCTGGTCAGCACTTCGCCTGAACATCTTGGGTTCGGTTTGGGCATCCACGCCTGCCCCGGCCGCTTCTTCGGCGCCAACACAGTAAAGCTAGTCATGTGCCATTTGCTGCTCAAGTATGACATAAAGTTGGCCGAGAACAGCAACACGAGCCCCATGGAATTTGGGTTCTCGATGCTGGCCAATCCCTTTGTCAAGGTGCTTGTTAGGCGCAGGAAGGAGGAGGTGCACTTTTAAACTTCTGTGGTCCACATGGCTTGAACGTTGTTTGCCGCCATAGTTGGGATTGTTTAAGGGGGGCGCAGGGGGTTGAGCCGGATTAGACTGCAGGGAGTAGAAACAAGACTATTCCTCACTTGGGGTCGTCCAAAGTGTAAACGAACTCGCAGTTGCACCTACCAGTGATTAGTGTCGGCTTGGCCCGTCTTGGCCGTTGGTAACATACCATCTGTATCGCGTATCTAAAGGCCCTAGCCGGGGCGTCTCGGCCCAGATGAGCAGTATTGTGATATCTGATAATCTGCGTGGCAAGCGGAAATGGTCTTCACAACTGCCGTTGTCAGGCGGCTCAGCCCCTTCTAAGCGAGCGGCTAAGATTTCTGCCAAGGACGTGACGATCCTTCTGAAAGATGATAATCGTGCGATTTCGGCAACGCCTTTCGGCATCATTGAAGCAAGATGTGAGTTGCAACCTGGATAAAAGAAAGTTCACTCGTATTCGCTACCTATGCAATCGTTGATCTCATTCTGGTCTAATGCCGTCGTTGCGTTGCTTGCTATGCCTGTGAAAATGCCCCACGAAAATCTAACTAGCTCTCACTACTTGAATCAACTCCAGATAATGATCCATCAACGATGCTTCATCACTCTCGAGACTGAGCCTTCCGAAAAGACCGCCACAAATTGCAAGATAAGGCATGGCTGCCTTGCGATTCCCCTTTTCACCATTCATGAGATAGTACACGATGAAGCAGAGGGAGACCAGAAGAAGATGGCCCATATCGCCCCACCGTGTGCTTGGCGAACCAATGTCCCTGGCTTGATTAGTTTCATAAACGCAGTGTGATGTGAATAGGGAACATACCTTTCGAGTCCCTTCTCCCAGAATAGACCGCTGTTTGCCAACTTGACTACGGCAAAGGCCGACTCGGCACAGCGCTCCATGCACCTGTCCCGCATCTGCCCGGCTACTCCCGCCATTTCCCCGTCTTCCGATAACAAGGGTGTAATCCATGGGCAGTGCACGAAGAAAACAGCCCGGTGATACATGCAGAACACGCGGAAAGCCTTCCTCAACTGCCGGTCGTCCTTGATCCCCTGCAGCGTCTTGGCGTTGTGCGCCTCGTTCAGAGGAGCCGGGAGTCCCGTCACCCACTCGTTGAGGACGTGGCAGCTGGCTTGCAGACGGTCCCGTCGGTCGTATGCAGAAGTCGACTTGTTCAGTGCACGCGGGCTGTACTGGAACTTGAGCACCGAATGGAGTAACTCCGAAAACGTGTAGGACACAGCGACCATGTCGTCGCCGCGGTCGAATGAGGGGAATTGACTGCCCCATCCAAGATCGAGAATCTGTGTAGCGTTAGCAAAAGGGTGGTTCCAAATTTGACCGTCTCGGTAGAAGACTCACAGGGAGCATTCCATGATGAATGGCATACTCAGTCTCCAGGCTGTAAAGAAACCATACGCTGCGCTGTGCCAGTTCTTGCTCTTGCTCGCTCATATTTGGCTGCTGGCCCCTTGCGGAGTGGACCAAACGAAGATCCCTTGCGCAGCAAACTGCTCCCGTGATCTTTTCCCAAACCAGCGACTCATCGCACATGCATGCAATGACGGCCTGTAATATGTCAGTAAAGTGATCCCAAAGGGAACATCTGGTCTCGCACCATGATAAGCGTCGCCTGAAGCTTCAGTAAGCTGTTAGGGCAACCTTGAATGGTCTTGTAAAGGCCCAAAGCTGTTCCAAGCCGCCGTTGGGCATCGCGAGCCTCATCCGGTGTAGGTGGCTCCCGACTACGTTGGCAGGCGGTATAGTATCCGATTGACATGATTGCCTCTACGAAGGCCGTAGCGAGCGGACTGGCATCGGCTTCTCGCGACTGTTTGATGATTTTATCGACTGTTTGTCTGGTAAGAAAGTTGCTGATCCTATATCACATGTCAGCTGTCTTCATGCTCATGCAGGTAATCCATCATGAACTTACGGGCAGCAATCTTCGAAACAGGCTGTAGAAAGCGCCTCATTAGCATTGAGCCCCATTCAGTCACTTCGAAAAACCCACCATCGCAATAACGTGACATGGTGATGTCGCTATCTGGCCACCGTCTGGAGCGATCGTGTGGGCTCTTGTTTGCCGGCATTACACGGTTGCCGCAGAGTACGCGCTTGAGTCCGTTGACAGTTTTGATCATCTCTGTCCGGCGAGGCTCTTTGCTGCTTCGAGCGATGTAGCTTGGCAGGCCGTACAGACTCGACGCCGCAAAGTCGACTTCCATTGGTGAGTCGCGAGGGTTTGGCGTCTTTTCATGTCTTTCGGTTGCCGGTTTTCTCGTTTCGGTCGCTTCATCGAAATTGAATAGCTGCCAAGAGTCAGAAGGCAAATCACGACTGCTTTTGCATACAGGCGTACCATGTTGTAATCAGGTGGGCTGGTCGTTTCTGGTCTGGACTGTTGTGCATTATCTCGTTGACTTGTTGTTTGCGGTGCCGGTGAAGCGGAGAACTTGTTGTCGATCATCGGAGACGGCATGTCGAAGTTGAATCCTGCAGAGTTGGAGTCCGACGGTGTTGTGTCGAGTAGATCCATCAACTCATCCTCTCCCGGCAAGGGCAGATCCAACATGCTCGGGTGTTCATCTTGTCGATTGCTCGAATAAGCATCGGGCATTGAGAATTGTAATAAGCAGTTTAAGCCGTCCATGTCCCCCCTCTCATCATTGTTTACAGTATCGTCGGTCGAAATAGGCGTTAGCAGCGTGCCATCGCACGTGAGCTGTTGCCATGCATCGTACGGTGGGAGACTGTCATTGGTGTTGATATCGAGTCTACGGACATTGGGAGGTTGTGAGTTGGTGTTCGTTCCTGGTGCGGTCGATCGGCGAGGTCTGGGGGCTAAAGGCGGATAGTAACATGCTTGTCCGTTACGCTACATACACACAGTCAGAAAGTTGGTTGACACAGAGGCACATCTCTCGTACATCACAATTGAGACATGGGTCTGCTCCGTCACCTTCAATATGTCAGAGTATGCTTCACCAACAACAGTGGTGTTCACTCACATCGTACTTTCCTAGACCTGCACGCTTGGCAGGCGCCCCTCCGACGTGTGATTCTTCGCATGTTGGTTTGTCCAGAAAAGGCTTGACAGCCGAACCGCCTGAAAGTCTTCTAGAATGTTGAGACGAAAGCTAACAGAAAGTTGAGCAGAATCCCGACGGCATATGGCCTCGCGACTTGACGGGCGGTGCCGTGTGAAATGCAAGATTAGCTTGGTCTAAATACTATTGAAGCTGAGTTTGCCAACGAGGAAGGAGGATTACTCTCTCAAGGTTCACACTTGGATGGATTCAGACGGTATTGGACTTGACTAAATATCAACCAAGGCGGGAACACCCCTCCATGGGACGGTTCCCGTGGCATGGTTTCTGTCAACGACGGGAACCCTGTGCCCATGTTGTTCAAGCGTGTCCAAGCTTCTCCAGCTCTAGAGTCTAACTACAGACCCTAAGAAGCCGAATTTTTTCGGCCGGGACCAGCTTTCCCAGATGCTCAAGGGTAGCTCTCTCTACAGAGATTGAGCGGTTCTCTCGGTGTTGTGATAGCCATGCGGTTATTTTTTTTTTTAACTTTGAGTTCCCCTCACCGCGTAACGCTGAGCTGGTTTCGCGCCACTTACCTGGCATGTCCAGAAGGTGTTATGCTTTGTGGATGACTCGCCCAACCCTTGACATCCCTAGACACCGGTAGCATGGATAAGGAAACCCCAGAGTCTGGTCCCAACCCCTCAGGACCCGCCGAAAAAACCGCTCGGGCAGTCTGAATCTGTATCCACGGAGCCCACTCATTTCGCATCTACCCGCTCACATTGAGCACGCAAGATTCTGCAAATCAAGTAGGGGATAAATTTTGCCAAGATATCAACTCAAATAAAGTCTCTAGAAAACCAATGGTTTAATTTTTCGTCCCGCCCCGCCTGCAGTCTTGGACAGTACTACGCAGTTAACTCGGAAGCTGACGTTGAGTCAGGCACCGCGAAACAACACTGACAAACTTCCACTAGCATTACCAGCGCCAAATCTTAACTCTCAGAGTTGCGTGGCAGCTCGGTGGTAGCCAGAAGAAGCGGTTATATGCTCGATCAACGCGCGTATTTAGGATGACCTGACAATCAACACCTCAAACCTTAAACCAATGCAACTGTGAATTGAGTCAGGCCCCTGGAGCATCTCAATACGTTCCGACTCGGTCCATGGTCTAGCATCTTTCTTCATCCTAATCCCGCCGGTGCCGAGAGTGAGCGAGATACCCTGTGAATCTTCAACTAGCACTTTGCTCGGCTTGTGATAGCGAATGCAGCGGACTGGAATTCCGGAACCGAAGATCATCACTCAAGATTTCATACCGACTGCAGCAATAAGTAGACTCAGTGGACCCCTTGCTCAAGACCAATACCACAGCCCGCTTACGAACACTCGGAATCACTGCCCGCCGCCGCCGGCTCGCCTCACTTTCCATTCTCAATCGAGATCAGGCTGCCCCAAGCCCCTCGAAAACACCTAACACCGACCCCCACGCTGCTGTCCCTTGTCAACAATGACCACACCCCTCACTACCCATCAGCCAGATGTCAACAATCCGCCAAAGATGGCCATTGCTAAAGAGGCGAAGCACTATGTCGATCACAGGCCGCCTTACCCGGACTCAATGTGGAAGCTCTGGACGAGTTACCATCAAGGACCTCTTACAAGCGCTCACGACATTGGCTCGGGCAGCGGAAACGGTGCCGAAGGACTATTGACGCACACAACTCCACCGCTGAAGCATGTTGTGCTTACCGAACCACGAGAGATCAACATCGCGGACTGCCGTGCTCGGTTCAAAGACCGCTTCCCCGGGACCGAATTCTCGTACCGAACCTGTCGTGGCGAAGACCCCTGGGATCCACCCGCCGGACTGGAGCACGTCGACTTTGCAATGGCGTGCGAATCGATCCACTGGACTGTCCTCGGACCAACCACGGAGAACATCGCAAAGAGCCTCCGACCCGGTGGGACATTTGCAGCTGTCATCTACGGACCGTTTCCAGGAATCACCAATAACAAGGTCGCCAATGCAGCTTTCAAGAGTTTCATTGGAGAACATGCCGCGCATTTGCTCAAGCAAGAGTGGATGACTGAAAACTGGAAGCGAGCTGCGCGTCAAATGTTTCACGGCATGGACTGCGTGCCACTTCTAGATGATGTGTGGCAGGATGTGAAGCGAGTTGAGGTGAACTGTCGGGACGGGTGGTATGCCAAGGATTATGAGCCAATGGAGGGTACAGAGGATCCGGTCGCCCACTTGGGAACTTCAGAGCGTGTCTCCATTGACGATAACGAGGATTGGCAAATTTCAGCCACGGTTGAGTGGCTCAAGCAATCCCTGGAGTCAATGCGTTTTGGGTTTACGGAGGATTCTTGGAATTCACCAAAGTGGAAGGAGATTGAACAAGCGGTGGGAGGCGGGCCATTGGAGTTGCAATGGCAGGTTCACATGATACTCGCTAGAAAGAGGGGTTGAGCATTAAGAAGCTCTACAGGGTATGGTTGACCAGGTTCAAGCTTGTCTGAATGTACAGGCTATCCTGCCATTATCCATAATCACGGCAGAGCGGAAGAGACAATTGGCATATTTAGAACTGCGGAAACAGCATCCAAGAATCCATAACATACTGTAAAAGAAAACATGACTTAGGTCATGCTAGAGAAAGAAATCATGAGGCAAGCTACCAGTTTCGCCTTTGGCGTCTGTCTGTTCCCGAGCAACTCGCATTCGGTCGATCGATGCACGCAACTAGTCTGACGCAGTTGACCATAGCTCTGCGAAAGTTCCCAATTCTCGGTGCAATAGAAATAGCGAGCAGCTTTTCCTATGCGTCAGCCCTGATTGGACGACTGTTGAATCGTTCTCCCGTGTTCCTACCGCCACTAGAGAGCTTGGAACACATTGTGCCACTTCTTCATAGAAAAGGCGGCCTGCCCCCTCGGAAACTGCAGGTGGGTTAAGGGACCAGCCGGGGTGTTGACACCAAATTCGGATCAATCCGCCGAGTGGAAAAAAAGCTTATTTCAACTCTTTGATAGGTAGCCTGAGTAGTTTTGCTCGCTGAAACTGGGGTCGAGGAGAAAACACGCAGAGCACGATTCATGTGTCCTCCAGTGTCCCTCGTTGTGGGGTTGTGGACCGTTGTCTCTTTATCTGGAGTTGCTTGAAGATCGGGGGCAGGGTAGTAACGCCGAATAGTCTGGGGAGACTGGAGTATTACAAGTGGGCAAATCCACGTGTCAAGGGGTGTTCTCGAACCGTTGACCATGTTTGCTGGGCAAATTGATACGAAGGCACGAATTAATGGTGTTGAGTGAATAATTGACCGGTAACGCTGCATTACATAATAATCGGCAATAATATTGCGCCTATTAGGTGGTATTCGACGAATACCCGTATTTTTAGAGTCGCTTTTAGGAGAAATGATAGTTACAGTTGAAGGTCGCCTCTGTCTGAACTTTAACCAGAGTATCCGCATGGCCGGTACAGTCTAAAAGTGCGATCGCAATAGCCGCGGGCCAAAGGGCTGTGGAACCATCCTGATTCATTAGTTCTCACACTAGAGAGTCAACGTTCGATACAGTTTATCAAGTTATTTCAGAACCATTTAGCATGGCCCCGACTCCCGCCTCATCTTGAAGAGCCTCGCCTGAAGCACTGACGCATTGTTTGATATCACGGCACAGCCGTAGTGTTATGGAGCCGCGGAGATCTGCGTAGCCCACTTGGTGTGATGAGCCCGAGTCAGTCTAAGGTTAATGACGGTAATCGACGAGTAGGTACTGGCGATTTGAAATCAGGTATCGTGGAAGAAGCAGAAAGCGGGTAAAAGATGATGCACAACGTTGGGTGGGCATAGCTGAAGGAACAATAGATGCGACAAAATGGAGACGGCACTGTTTGTAGTGTCGTATCACGGAAGAAACCTTTTGGGAGGAAATCATGGGCTTACATTGAATTCTCCACGGTGAAATTAATTGACTTATTTAAGCTGCAGCTGTACCGGTGGCATTTGCCGCACACACATTCTTCATTGGGTATCAGTGATTGTCTAATGCTCTGTCATACGGGGGAGTGCCAGCGAAAGCGGAATCTGTCAAAACATGAAAGCAGTTACAACTGCCATAAACCAATCACCCATCATCCATCATCCATGCTTCCTATATGCCGCATAAGTATTATCAAAAGTCGACTGCCTGGGCAAAGCCAATTCTGTGCTTCTGCTCATATTCCCAGTCCTCGGGAACATTGTCCCGGACGTACTCCTCGATGTCACCAATTCGGTACTTGAACTCGTACTCAAAATCGTCAGGAGGGTTCAAGTCGGCGTCTTCAACTGCTCGCTTCTGGGAACCCTTCTTCTTCTGGACGTATGGCCGACAAGCCTCGTAGGCACCCTTGTAAGACAGGGCACCCGGTCCGGCGTAAGCCGATGCCTTACTCTTGACACCAGCGCTGTATGCGACGGTTTTATCGCCAATGGTGTCATCCGTGTTGACAGTCGATCTCGCAACGCACTTGCCCTTGTTCCAGGTGGCATCATAGCTGGCAGTCCAAACAGCAACGGGGTCCACTATCATCTTCTCCGTATAGAAAAGGCGGCAGTTGGCTGCTTCGTATCTGAACTGCTCGGGCTCGCCGTGGGCGTTCTCGCGGGAGTAGGCGTTGCGGTAGTTGAAGCTACCAGAGCTGGCTAGGGGCGGCAGGAGAGGAGGCTCGCCGATATCAGGCAGAACGTCGAATGCCTCCTTGAGATACTTCGTGTTGTTGTTCTTGACGGCATCACGACTGACCTGCATGATTGTTTGTCTCAGGTCAGTGAACTGCAGAACCTGAGCACCCTCAACGCCGCCGACTGCTTGCATGGCTGTCTCCATGGGACGACCGCCGAGGGCAATTGTGCGGACGCCCTGTTCCCGGGCCATCAGACCAGTGAAAATCGTGCAAGTCGATGCACAGCCACCGTCGGTTACGATAACGATATTCTCAGGGGCGAAAAGCGGATCTCCCTTGGTCTTCGTGTAGGACAACTCCGTCTGGTTGTAACGAAGTAGCTTGGTGGTATTCTGGCCAGCGACGACCTCAGGCCCGAATAGGTCTTCCCAGTCCTTGTACGGCTTTCGATCCTCATCGAGGTATGTTCCAACGAAGATATCCAAGACATCAGGCGAGGAATCCCAGGCGGTAATGCCAATTGCATTGAAGGCCTCGGTGGCACGGATACGGCTACCATCCCATATGTCGGTCTTCGGGAAGAGCTGGTTGTAAAGCTGGAATCCCGCGGCGACGAAGCCACCACCGTTTCCCTGAACATCGATGATGAGTTTCTTCTTCCCGGCGTCCTTGGCCTTTTCCAGGAACTCGGCGACCGTACGGAAAGCCTCTAGAATCTCGAAAGTGCCGTTCGGCTTTGAGATAGTCCATGGGGTGAAGCCCAGAACGGCAAGAACAGCGGTATCCTCGTAACCTTTGCCTTCCATGAAGTAGCCCGAGATCCATTCATGCTTGTGGAAAGCTACTGGCTTTGGGTAGCCTGGGAGGGAGGTCGGGCTGGGCGTAGAGCTGGCCACAGATGTAGATTTCGAAGGTGCTGTCGTACTGGCTGCCGCTGAGGTGGTTGTAGCCGGGACTTCGAAGTGGTTGTGAAGCTTCTCGGCAGTGTCAAGCCATTCAAGTGATGTCCTGAAGACCTTCGCGTAGAGCTCGTTCGTATAAGTCGTATCGTTGGTGAACTTGATAACTTCCTCATCAGGGCAGTCGCCTGGGAGACGGGAAGTGAAGCCCGCAGTCAACCCCCTAGCAAACTGCGCCGGGTTCGTGAACATTTTGTTGTACTTCGCATCGGGATCCTGGGTCAGCTGCCGGGAAGCCTGAGCTTCGATGAACTCGCGTATAGGAGTGCCATCAATGCTTTCGATATCGTAGACATCGGTGTCGTTTACGACGGACTTCTCGAAATCGCTCCGGAGATAGACTCTTGGAATGCCTGTTACTTCGTCTGCGACCGATACTACCCCATTCAAGCTAGTAAAGGGGAAAACACTGAGAATAGCTGGGTTGTAGGTAAAGTGGCCGTCTGATGCTTGGAAAAACTGATCCTTCGTAAGCAATTATGTCAGTCGATAAAATAAGGTTGGTCTCACCAGATACTTGAGTTCTAGTGCAAAGTCCAACTGGCTCTTGTACTGATCCTTGCTCAACTTGGCACGAATTTGTCCAATTCCGCCTAGGACGTCAACTCCAGGAATCAGGTATCCCTCAGGCGGGTGTGACAAAGGCTCCAGTGTGCTTTGAAATTCAAGGTAAGGTTCCAGATAGTTCAGAAGGTCTAAGTCTCTCTCTTTGTCGACGGGTACTGAGTGCAAGCAGTTGTATGCTAGCGACGGTTTGATCAAAGCAGCGGTTGCGGTGGGGGCTGCTGCGAGTAGTGATTTGGCCTCCGCCTTTACGATACCGCAAGCGTCTTGTGATGGTGCTGTGGTGGTTGTCGGTTTGGCATTGGCCTTGTTAGCCGCGTGGAGGTTGGCGGCAGAAACAGTGCCGATGAGGGCCAGCGCCCAAGTGAAGGTTGACCGCATATTGAAATATGGCAAGAAAACACGCTATTCTGTCTCGTCAAATCAAATGATGGAAGAAGGAAAGAGAAAACAATGGCGCTCTCGTATGCGTTATAACTCTTCAATGTTGTGGCCAAGATATAAACTGATGAACCAAACATGAACTAGAACGACGGGAGTTCTGTTGACTATTATAAGCCAACATGCTGACCGACATGACATGCTCTCTAGTGTCGGTGCCATCCTGCTGGTGTCTTTCTTTACTCTCCACCAAGCTTGCCCAGCCCCATGAACCGCGCCTGGGGAAATCGCGAGTGACAACAAGCGAGGAGTAACCTTAACGCAGCGGCGGGAAGAGGCTGTGTGGCGGCACTAGCCAGGCAGAACAGTTTGGATGGGCTCAGCTTGGAGCCGGGGGTCCAACAGGATACCGGGCCGGCGCTAGCTTGTCTAGTGCCGTGAGCTGGCGTCCATCTCAGCCTCCACTCCCGGCCTTTCTGTGCTTCTATTGGGCTGATTTGGGGTTCGTAAACGGCCCCAGCTTACTTTGGAGTTTTGGCCCTTCAACATGATGCTCAGTGCGGGAATGGACAGGTCTGACGTTGGCCGGTGAGCGTGTTTCTCTTTGTTATGTGCCAAGAGAGCCACATGGTAAGGTGGAGGCTTCATGAATATGACAGCCTTCTTCGTCAAGCTGTTGAAATCTCAACCCTTCAACACAGTGAAACCGAGCAAACGACAGCCCCGAAAACACAGACAAGTACGATGCCGCTTCGCGCCTGGCGGTGAGATCGTGGCGCGTTTCAAGGGACAGTGACACAGGAACAGCAGGGCTGCAGGGGTGTGGCGCGCTAACACGTGGAGATGAGATCCTCCAGGATCGGCGCAATCAAAGCCTGCAGGTGGGAGGCACAGCTGAGCAAGAAAAAGCCCGAATGTCAGCATTTTCAAGCATGCCCTGCGGCCCGCTATTTTCAACCTGAACATGACCTGTATTCGAGCTTCCGTATGCGGCATTCGTTGCAGAACGACCAGGCCTGTGATGACGTGAGTGAGGCTCAATTGACGCCGTTGACATACGATTTCAGATTTGTAGGGCCGTGATCGCAATAAGATGAATATGCCCATCATCTCGTCCGAATTCTCTGATTGGTTTTCATTGTAATTGGGCAAAGACTGGACGTAGGCTACTCTGAGAGCCTTCTGAAAAGTCTACCGGATCGTCTGTGAATTTTGTTGGGCCATGCAGTCAGAAAGCTAGAGCTGGTGATCCATCTTATTTGTGACCAATGTAGTGAGCTGAAGCTCAATATCACCGCGGCCATTTGGACCGACACTTACGGACAAAACGGGCGAATCATGCGAAGTTTTCGAAGTCAAACGGAGTCATAGTCCGCACCGGTGCGTAGGTTGCAGCCGGAGGACAAATGCGCCGGCCCAAGGATCTGTAGGAGGCACTGCACATCCATTACTGATACAGACGGTTCCTGAACATCGCGGCCTCTAATCGTCTCATCAGCTGATCATCAAGAGTGGACGTTGGTGAAGAGCGACCACTGACATGTTCAGCCCTAGGCTAAAGCATCACCAATTCCCTCGAGGGTGGCTTGGCTCACAGGGGCTGGCAGGCAGCCAAATACCGTTGATGCCGCCTGTTGTGACCTATTTTTGAACCCCTGAAGGCACTTAGCTCTGCTGCCGGCTCACTGCATATCCATCCCGCCCCTCCTATCCGGGCCCTGGCTGAGCAGAGTCAAGGCGCCACAAGCCGGAGCTTTCGGTGGTGCCTACACACAATACATGTACGAGTGTCCCAATCTGGTCATATTCTGCTTTTACTCTTGTTCGAAAGTTCTTCCTATGGTCCAGCTTGCTTATCCTTCTCGTCAAACTTCAGCGCAATTGAGGATACCAAACTTGTTTACTGCCCTGTCAACTCTAATCAGACAGGGCTATTTGTTGGAGCAGGTATGGTCGCTGAGGTGTCTTCAGTATCCCCACCGCCGTTCCCCAAAACTTGCAGAAAATGATGCAGTTCACTGCCTGTGATCACCACTACGTCAAAGCAAACGAATTTCGGACCAAGCACGGCCGCCATTAAGGCACACCGAATCCGCCTTAGCCATCCGACCGCTGTAACGCTAATAACGTCCCGGGAGTAAGCCGCTTGGTTTCTGTGTGAACTCTGGCAGAAGTTGTGATGAAAATGCTCGGTGTCGGCTTCAGTGAAATTCTCTCCGCCGGTTCCCGCAACCGGCCGACTTTTCGTCCTCCGCAGCCGATCCACGGCAACAACAAAGGCCGTTCGGTCTTGACATTTGTTCCGGAGCAGTGGACGGCGCTGTGGGGACTTGTTCCGCTTGTTTTCAGCTGGCAGGCTTCGGCAATTGCATGATTGCATCATATACAAGGACCTATCGGCTTTTATTCAAACGAGAAACAGCACGCAGGGTGCAATATTTAGCAGCACGTCATCGTTCGGCAATCAACAAAACTAATCTTCAAGATTAATGAACACCACCACCGATGAACCGAAATGCTAAAGTAAACACAAGAAGCCAAAAGTCGAGAGAAACATTGGGCTGATTTCAGCTCCCTAGTTCTCGCGAATTGCTAAGCCTGCGTGGTGATGATACTACGCAGGTCTTGGCGACGAGAATATCTTCGCTTGGGTTGCCAAAATGTGCCAGTTCCGGACTGCAACACGTGGTTGGCCACACCATGACTTCTGATTTTCATTGGACAGGATTGGATGTAGAGACCAGACATCCAGAAACTTGTTTGAATGATGCCTCGCCTTGCCGTCTCAAGTGGAATAGCCCGCCAGCATGGCTCCCAGTCAGCCATGCAGACGCGTGTTCCATCCGGTTGGCACGGCGCCGTTGAACATTTAAACGGTTCTATGTATCATGAACCAATCGGGCCTGGTTCCTCGCCATTAACTAAGTTGTCAAGTCATTGAGGTCCGTGGGAAACTGAGTTGGCTATGATTGCAGCCAGCCGGCTGGGCAACGGGAACAGGAAGCTTGAATCTAGCTATGGTCAAAGATCCTTCCCAACGCATAACGTAGTAATCCAATTATCCTCCTGTTTCTTATGATTTCGAAGCGAAATGGTCGATACGATTGGCTCGTAGTATTCGTGTGTCGTCTGCCACATCAGACGAGAGTCTTGGCGGTTGCATGTCTACATCGGCGGCAATGTAGGTGTCATGCGCACTGACATTCCCTAACAGATGTGTCAACAATGCCAGTAAGATCTGATGTTCGTTTCCAAGCGAGCTGAAGTTTTGGGGGATTTGCCTCTGTTAAGAGGTTTCGCAGGCTGGTTGGTGTGGTCGGCATTAGAGTTAGACTTCGGTCCGAGACGTGATCGCTGGAGTGTATGTGGCTCATTCTGGACGCGGCATCACAGGCATGTCGGAACGGGGTACGCGCCGTTTCGCCGACTCTTGCACGAAAAGGTTTCCAAAGCCAATTGTTCGCCGCTGGAAATCACATGGTTTACCTGGGACTGCCCTGGGACGCATCGCCACAAGCAGTTTTGACAGTTCAGATACAGCCTGCTGGTCATCCAACGTCACTTTTCTGATACCTGACTCGGCCTTTTTGTGATCTGGATCGTTGCATATTCATTCCTCATTCAGAGTGGACCGCCTGCATCGCCATTGCGACTAGATTTCCCATATTCATTTTTGATTACAAGCGGATAATAGTAGTGGTTCATTATGAACGGAGCAGCTTCCAGTAACGGGGGCGAGGGAGCTATGCAACGGCTGAAAGCTCTCTGCTCCAGCGTCCTTTCCATTTCAGTCGAGGATATTGACGATGGCTCATCATTTGTTTCTCTTGGCGGTGAGCATCACAATATCGTCCTCCCGCATCACTTCGATCACTGATGACATGTACAGGCGATTCTTTTAGAGCCGTGACTCTATTCCAGAAATGCACAGAACAGGGGCTCGCAGTGCGCTTCCAAGATCTTCTCCACAAGCCATTAGTCGATGTAGCAGCCTATGCAGAGAAGACTGCGGAGGGAGATGAAGCCGGATCTTCAAGCAGAAAAGGCTCTGATAGAGACGAGACGTACCACCTGATGCCTTCAGAGTACGACTTCACCAAGGTGTTCGATGAACTGAAGGCAAAGTACGGTGTGAGCCCAGATGACGTCGAGGACATCTACCCCTGCAGTCCTATGCAGGAGAACATGTACATCGGCCAGAAGATGAGCTCCAAGCGGCTTTACCGGTCACGCGGATTATTCGAAGCAGACTCCGCGTTTGACTTTGATAAGTTCAAGGGCGCTTGGAACGACATCGTTCAACGACACCAAACTCTTCGGACAGTTTACATCGAGACTGCGGACCCCACGTCAGGCCGCCTACTTGACGCAGTTGTACTCAAGAACAAGCCGGGGCAGGTGAAGATCAGTCACTACGATGAGGAATCGGAAGTACATCGAAAATTCCACGACGGTGCAATTGATGACGGAGAAAATGGGGACGATCAACATCAAATAATTATCTACGCCAGCTCAAAAAAGCAACATCACGGAAGAGTCTTTTTTCAGGTGGATCTTAATCATCTGACCGTGGATGGCAGCTCTCTCATGATTATCGTCGAAGAGCTCGTGAAGGGCTTGAGAGGAGTTCCAAGTCTCGGGCCTGCTACAGGCTACGGAAAGTATATCGACCATCTACGGAATCAAGTGGATGAGGACGGCGCACTGGATTACTGGATCGACTATCTCGACGGAGCAGAGCCATGTTACTTCCCAACCATGAACGACAACATGAAGGGAGATGGTGGGTCTTTTGAGGTCCTGGAGATGTCTCTGGACACCTCACTTGAGCAGCTGCGGAACTTCTGCCGCAATTTCAACGCAACAGTATCGAACACGCTGCAGGCCGTTTGGGCTCTCGTTCTCTACACATACACCGGCGACTCCAACGTGTGCTTCGGCTACCTGTCTTCTGGACGCAGTTTACCTATACTCGGAGTCTCTGAGATCGTTGGGCCCAT